TTCCCCTGTGTTTAAAACCAACTCCTAATCCTTTTTCCTTTGGCACTGGAAATTTCCATTCTTCCACTGAAGCAAAGGAATGAGAGATGAATAAACATTCCCCAGGAAAAAAAATATGAACTAAAAAAATCCACATTCAAAATAAAAAATCTCAGCTTTCTAATACTGCTACCACCACTTGTCACGTCTGCAAAGCAATATGAGCGTGGGATGGGCAGAAAGATAAATTATGGAGCATACGGCTCTGCTCCCCGAGTGTTCTGACAGTGAGACTGCAGACACAGTAGGAGGGAGCCAAAAGTGCCTGCCAGAGACAGCCTGGAAACTCTCTGTTATTTCATCTGCGAAAAAAGGAAAGCAGCTAACCCGAGCTGCTGTGTAAAGATCAGAACAGAGCAGAGTGTACTGGACACTGTTTCTGCTCTAAGCAAAAATTATTTTTTTCCTTCTTTCTCTTTTTTCAGCCATTGCTTGTCTGCACTCTGAATGATGAGATGTCAGTTCGCAGGTCTTACAAGACTTTCCTACAGAAGTTCTATGTGATGGTACAACTGAATTCATTATAAAAAAAAAATTAAAAAGATAGCCGGTTGCCTAATTTTCTAGATATGTGCTCCATTTTCTTTAGCATAGAACAATGCTAGACTATATTCTGCTGAAATCCTTTGAAGGTTTAAGCAACTTGGATGTAATATAAGATGCTGGCTTAAAGTCAAACCTGTCACACTGGCACGTACAGTGAATGAAAGAGCAGTTCTCAGCAGAAGTTCTTAGTTTAAAATACTCCTCTGCTACCTTCTTCCTTCCCCTGTTCCTTGCTGCTGGGGGAGAGACCATCTAAGGCATATGAAGTACTGGGAAAATAGGATTAAAAAATTACAACATGGCAGAAGCTACTTTCTTAGGCACATATTTTGCAGACATATGAAGTGAAATGCACATAACTGCACTTTGCCTCAAACACAAAAGTCAGAAGAAACACAAGGGGTGAAGAGATTGCTTATATTTGTTTGCCTGATAGGAATCCTTTTTCAATGTGTTTCCTTTTGTCCTTTCTGAAAAGAGCGAATGATGAAACTCTCATCAGGAAAGGGGTTTGAGAGTCTTCAAGTGATGCCTTGGCTGAATTTTTTTAAAAAACATGTTTGAAAGAACTGCTTTCCTACCATCTTGCCTGTCTCCCTAGGGAGCAGAGTCTACATTGCTATGCAACCACATTTTAATTCCATATAGTAGTAACAGAGCTCCATCCAAAAGGAATAGATTCCTCTTCCAATTGTTCTTCAAATGCAGAGAAATGAAATATAAGTAGTGACTAAAGAACCTCACTTCACTATCAAATTGTATATGCTGATCCATATGGCAGATGGTGGCAGCTGCAAAAGACAGCTTTGTGGTTCTTTAAATTTCTCCCTCATTTAGATGGGAATTCTGCAGCACAGGAATAATTGTTTGAAGAATGATCACACTTAGGGATGAGAGAACAAAAGCAATGGGAATGCAGGCTTTCCAGCTGTAGAGGAATCAGAACAGTGTTGCTATTTCTATTCAAGGCCAAGCTGATGCACTGCATATTCAGGAAGAACTATAATACAGTAGAAGGTAAATGCCTTCTTGTTTTTCCATGAACAGCAAAAAATGAACCTCTTCTTGCAATGACTTGCTTTCTTTATTGATTTCACCCCATATATTCTTCAAAGGTACAACTTATTTTGTATGTAAACACACACAGTTTCTGTCTTCTCAGCAGCTTAATAGCTTAAACCTGCATCACTTTGTGTTTATACTCACTGTGGAGCAACTCTGCTCTCAACATTGAGGTGATCCCCAACATTGCCAGGTTTCAAACCAGTAAAACTGATTTTAAAATAGCAAAATATGATTTCAAATGAGCAGGTAGCAGTGGAATTTTTGAAGCACAGCTGAGATGTGCTTTCACCAAAATCTCTTCAGTTCTAAGGGAAGGGAGCGAGTAGCTGCCTCTTCTTCATGGTGCTTTTGCTCAGTGTCAGCTGTGAGTTAATACTAAGATGAAAAGAATGAACAACACAGGTGTGAGTCACTATAATGCTGGAAAGCTAGTAATTCCTTATAATGGTGGAAAGCTAGTAATTCCTGAAAGGAAAGCTGTTCACAGTACTGGCTTAATGGTACATCTAGAGTAGTGAGAGCTGAAACTCATCCTGAATGCATACAGCCCATTGGGGATCTGTTTGCTTGCATCCTTGGATATGGACAAATTCAGCACCTCTTCTTCCCACCTTATGAATTCCCAGGATTTATGAATTTCCTGGATTAAGTTTGAGCACTAATTCATAACAGTCTCTTCTAGACATTGTGGTACGCTGGTAATGGTAGGGACTTTGTTGGTGGAGGAGGAGACATATGGCTGGCTCTGACATCCAGATTACTAATTTAGAAATCCATGGCATTCTGTAATTTCCCTGCTATATTGCAGGTAGATACTTGGTCAGTGACTGCAATATCAGAGACATTTGTCTATATGATCACACCACCGTGACCTACTTTCCTATTTTACAACAGTAACTCGGTGAGCATGCAACTATAATTCTTTACATACACGAAACTCTCACAGAGGAAACAGTTCTTTAATTGGTTGTAGTCTTCTAAGGATTAAACATGAGCAAAAATGAGAAACAAAAACTTTCTGCTTCTTCTTTCTGTAGTAAGTGTGCTCTTTTCAATCTGAGCAGGTTTTTTTTTTTGTTTGTTTGTTTTTGGCTTTTTGTCATTGTTATTGGGGGGGGGTTGTGTGTGCTTTTTTTTTTTTTTTTAAATCAGGTGCAGAAAGTGGTGGAGGGACCATGTACATGTGATGAGCATATGATAACTGTGGCTCCCTCATTCTCTACACCTGCATGGACAACACCAACTTTTTATCATTCCCCTATGCTTATTTTCTTGTCATTCTACTTGACTGCAGGATTTTATCTGTGTGAAGGGCTGTTGGAAAGGACAGTCAAGTATTCACATTTAACTGTTACAGCTTCTGAATAATTAGTGACAGTGAGGAAAACTGAGTACCAGACTCCTCGGAAGTTCATTGAGAAAATAGTATGAGAGAAAGATTCAGATAACAGAACTGCCCTTCATGATCCTCAAGGTCACAGTCTTCATTCTCAGGCTTTGCTTTGGCTGAAGAAAGTTGTGGTAGGAGGCAGGCATTGTGACTGATCCCACCGAGACAATTTACCCAGTCTGTGATGAACACCCACCCCTTTTGTGGCAGTCTGCCTCAGAGCATATGGCAATGGTAAATTCACCCGAACAAAGGAGCAATAACAAGTTCTATTTACCTGTAGAGAATGTGCTGGGGCCATATCAGAAATGCCAGGTGCATTACCCTTTCATGTAAGAGTAATACAGGCTTTCAGCTCAGGGATAAGAAGAAACACTAATCCACAGTGGCTTCCTGCACATTTACCTCTGAAGTATACAGAGCAAAGCAGATGCCACAGTGACAGTGCCTCTGCCTCTGCATGTTGGCTGATGTCCATTTTATAAAAAGAGAAAAAATACAGCGACCAAACTTTTGTAGAGTTTACATTTTCCCTGATGAGTTCCTATGCAGGAGCTTAGCAATGATGTTAGTAGGGAATTGAGATAGATGTAATGCAAATCATGCCACTTGCTAATGAAGCAACAAATAGTGGGTAGAACCATATAATATTTTACTCCAGAAACCCGAACCTAGGTGAAACTCTGTTTCATATTTCATCACAAACTCAAGAATGCAGGGCACACGTGCCAAGACTGCCAATTGTAGGGAATTATGACGATATGCATTTCCTTCAATGAATGAGTAGCAGAAAGCTCCAGACCCACGTGCCACAAAGGGTTAAGTATCACTGCATGGCACAGCGAAGGGTCAGTTTTCAGAAAGATTTAGTGCCAGTGGCAAAGCGCTGGTGAAAAACAGAGCTCAGCACAAACTGACAGCCATTATATTTTTCTATCAGTGGTCTTGGAGAATTAAGTATTATTTTTCCTTAATGAGAAATGACCTGGAGGTACAACCTCCTTCAGTGCTGCATCAATCCTTAAATTTGGCAACCTTCAACCCACTGATGTGGTTTGCATGCCAAGTCTCAGCATGGTTATAGCAATCTATCAGTTCATGAATTCACAGGGTGACTGCACTGTTTTCTAATAGCAAATGTTAGACCTTGAGCTGGAACCTTTTTAAACAGTTACATGAATCAAAGTGCAAGAAAGACAAAAGATAATTTAATAATGGTGGGAAAAAAAACTATTTCAAGAGCTGCAAAACAATAAGACATCCTTCTGTCTCTTTGCATTAATTATATCTGCCTTCTCTTTTCATGAGAGGGCCTTTTTCACTAGTTCATCTCTCTACTGCATCAAACAGAAACTAATACTCCTTAAAAATTCTTTTGTAGTTGTTCTACACACAGCTATCAATGCCCTTGGAGAACTGAGAAGTCAATTCACTTTCCTGTATTAACTCACACTGCCAACATCCATCTTCCAGTAGTTGCATTTTCCCAGCACTAACCCTCAGCCTGAGGTGAGGTTTCCAGCAACACCTGTAAAGCAAACTCCATTCAAACCCACTTTGCAATTTCCCTTCTCTTTGAAGCCTACAAAACAATTTGCCAATGGTTAAGCAGTTGGTATGATGAGATCTGTTTATAAAGAGGACTAATACTGAACTCTTCTGTTGTGACTCTCACATGTTAGCTGTCATGTTTATTTGCAATTAATTATCTTTCAGGCAAGAATCATCTGTTTGTTTCTGGTTCCACACCTAAGCTCCATAGGAAGGGTGGGGGTCCTGTACATTGTTACACTCTCTAAGTAATACACAATGCAAATTATAAAAATAAAAAAGAGTGTCTTGTGTATATGCAGACACAAGGATTTTAAGCTGTAGGTGAACAGTAGTGCCCCTTTTAGTTTGAAAGAGTTTAAATGATTGAAGAGTTTATCTGCTTATTTCAAGTTTATAATTCGCTCACCTCCTGTGAATTCAGGAGCATGTCCAGGTGATCCCAATCCTTGTAGAACATTTGTTCTTGGTGTATTTTCTCCAGCCACTCCTTCTTCTGTTTCCATGCATTGTATACATTTTTCTTCTCTTCCATTAAAGCCTGTAGTTTCTGCTGAATCTGAACATAGTTTCCAATTAAAAAGTCATGTTGGTCTTTAGATCGTATGGATCAGGGTAAGCTGAGACAAGAAAGGATTAAGCGGAGTGGTGGATAATCCCCTTAAGGTGCAACAAAATTATTAAACAGAAAAAAAAGTAAAACAAGTTCTAGCAATTCTATTTGAGCATAGAGATAACCAGAGGTGCCTCATTTCAGCAATGGAGAAGTGCTTCTTACAGCATATACAGCAGTTCAAGCCAAGAGCAAAGAAAGGTAACTGTTTCCCAAGCGTGCTTTCTAAAATCAGATCCTAATTCTCCATTGTCTTTAGTCATTAATAGTGCCATTATATCACTCCAAATTTTTGTCCAGACTGTTCTGGTGTGGATATACCACTGTGATACGAGGCATAGTATTTCTGTGAAAATCCAGTTTGGGAAGTTGGTAGAATTAAACCCATTGCTCAGAACATGGTGAACTTCTTGAATGAGCCCAGCTTTGCTGCAGGGGGCCTTCAGGAGATGCCAGCACGCATCTGCTGCTGAGATAGGAAACGGAACAGATGTTTTTGTGCCCAAGCTAGGTAACACACTGAGGCAAACATAGGTCATGCATATAGAGAAGTAATGCACATGTGTATTTGTATGCTTACAGTGTGATAGTTACACTGGTGTCAAGTAGCTGAATATGTACGATCGAACTCAGAAGAGTTTCAATTACCTCTTTTGATCCCATTTCCTCATCTTGCAGGAGTGACTGACCCAGCTGTACAGCATGACTATACTTCTCTTCTCGTGCTTCAATCTCTGCCAGTAGCTGTTGATGTTGAGTAAGTCTCAGGCTGCTAGTAGATATGTCCCGAATGGTCTCCTTGGCTCTCATTTCCCTTATTATTTCTGCTGTCCATAAGAAATAGTCCCACACCTGGAACCCAAGAAAATGTGAAAGTTGAGGTTAGAGCTCAAGCTTAGGTTATGAAGGAGGAAAATCATAGGCCTGTTCAACTTGAAGTGATTAATAGATAATAAAATCACAGATAAGAAAGAAAATATTTCATTAGTGCTTACAGTACTTCTATGAATTTTACAAGCATGGATAATGACTGCTGGAATTTCTACATACTGTGTTAAATCATATATGGTTTGTAATATCATAATTATAGTCAAACTCCATCATATCATGTCAATGACAGCATGATATAATTTATTGCCCTTTCATCCATGTTTTCTTAAGTGTTTTCTAATGTTATTCCTTCACAAAGGATAAAACAGTATCATCCTATTTTTCTGCGACAGCTTTGTCTAATGCAAGTCTATTTGAAATTAGGTTGTGCACATATTCTCAAATGAGAGTCTGAATTTTCTGATAAAAAACAAATGCACTCTAATAAATGTGGAAAAAGGGTAAATCACAGCCTAGAAAAAATTGCATAACCAAATCAGGTATACAGATTCAGCTTTTGGTTTGTGGAACTATAGAATTGGGATTGACACAGAAACACAGTTCTGGGAGAAACAAGGGCGTGATGCTAGTTTACTTTCAAAATCTGATTAAACAATAAATACATTTACAATATCTTAAAATGCTTGAAGCATTCAGCTGAAGCAATTACGAGCAAGAAAGTTCTAAAACAAATATCTGAGAATTATTTTCTAACTGTGACTGAAGCAACTTGCACAAGTAAAAATAATTTGACATTTTTCTATATGTCCTTTTCTGCATTTGATTCTACACCTTAAACAGTCACTTTCTTTAGGCATCTTATTTGAATCTGCAATAGGAGTTTTACTCTTCCCTGTCAGTTGTTAAAATTAGGATTGCAAGGGACTATACTGGGAATTACATGCAATGACTATTTAAGTTTTGCTATAGTTTAATTGTGTCTGAATTAGTTGATTTAATTTTGAGGTAGTAAACAGTTTGTCAGGTTTTTAAAGTGTATTTTAAAAGACTATTAGGTATAGTAAGTGCTGAAAAAAACCCTCTTTCACTGCAGAGAACCAAAAATTTTCTCTTGTGAGTGGTTGCTGGCTTTTCCACTGAAGGAAACTATGTAATGGAAATAGATTCTTGGCTGCTCCATTTTACCCATGGATTTTTGTTCATATCATCAAAATTTTGTACTGCCAGCCAAGAAAAAAAATTTCAGAAAAGCACCACAAAATTGAAACTGGCCAATTTGGGATCCTGAGTTTAGGCTTTGAAGCCAAGATAAACAGAGATAAAGATTTCTTTCTTAAAGCCAACAAACACAGCTACTAAATGACTGTTTAAAAAGACTGTGGTCCTTTTAAAGGGGCCCACATAGTGCACACGTATTGGCATAATTTTGATTTTTAGTACTAATTCATTCACACAGCTGGATGTCACTGCAGACACTGACATTCCACTTGGCACTGCAAATGTCTAAGACTCCTCAAGATTTTAAGAAAGCATTAGGAAAAAATACATAAATCTCAGGATATATAATGCGATGGAACAAGTCAAGAGCCAATGAGTGGTTACTGGACTGTCACTGCCAGCAACATTTAAGGATAGACAAGGCATCAGTCTGCAGGAAACTCCTAAGCAGAGCCTGACAGAGACCATGCAAATCCTAGCAGAAACTTCAGATTAAGAGCCTCAGATCACTCAGAAATACTTTGAGTCTATGTCTACATTCATCTTCCTTGAAAACGTTTCTTGGAAGATTTGAAGCCCTCTGCTGTTACCGTGCGTTGTCCAATAGGCCCAGCTCTCTGCTATTTAATCAGACTAAAATTGTACTTGATGGGGTGCAAGAAGATACACTAGATGATTGTGCAGAATTCTCATTTTATGGAAAGACTGAACTTTTTTTGTTTCACCTAATCTGTGCACAATTTTCTTAATGAAAAACCCAATGACTGCATATGAACAATATAATGAAAAAAGTACACTGAACAGCTGTGACTAACATTGTTTGTGGACCTCTTGGCATAGCTGAAAGAGGAAAGATAGCAAAGTTGCCTCTTTGCATTCAGCAATTTGGGTGATGGTCTGCAGCAAAGCTGCTCTAACCTACCCTAGAACTACTGAGTTTTTTAGTCACTAGACACAGCTGCATGATGCTGCCTTGTCCCATCTGGGCAGAAAGACAAGCTTACCAAACTTGCAGGACCAGCTCTTCACTGTTTCAAGAATTATTGTCAGGAAAGGAGGTGAAAATTAAGAGGATCAGGAACACTTTTTGCCATCAAAGAGGCAGGGAGTTGCCTGGAGCATAATCCTGTCTAGACATGTCACTGAGAACACAGTCACCTGGCTTTGTCATTTTGTTTTATGATGTTAAGAGTCCTAAAGATCAAAGGACACACTGCCAGATGGAGAAATGGGCTATAGATTTGCCATTCAGACAAAATTCAAACCAAAGATGCTTTGTATGGTTCCAGCAATAACAATTAAAAAAGTACCCCAACAGGTGGGAAAAACAAGACATTTTCTATCTGAAGTCAATAACTAAATTTATGATGTAAATTATGTAAGCAAAGCAATAATGAAGTGAACTCTGAGTGACTACATTTTGATGGATAAATCCACCAAGACCCACCTCCTCATGAAGACGCTCCCAGGCTGCAGACTTCAAGACTCTAATATATGTTAGAAGAATACAATACTGAAAGTTTGACTTATTTTTACTATCATTCCTAGATGCTATTAGAAAGACAGTGGACAAATGAACTTTTCACCTACATCACTAGAGACACTTTTATTTTCCCCATTGACAGTTCTGCACAAGATAATAGACTTGTAACAGTTAAAAAACAAACCAAGCAAACCCTCAAAAAAACCAAAGTGCCATAAGCATCCTTTATCTCTAACTATATAATATATTTTTTTATGAAATAGGCAGATAACACCAATTTGGACACTTATAAGAGACTTGAAGTGGACTACTCTAATATGAAGAAGTCTCTCATGCTAACAAAAAAGAACCATGTACACCTACGGTGGTCTTGCTCCCAGCTCACAAACCTAGGAGAGAGTTGTAGGAAGTTTTTTTCCAGCATACCCTGGACATTCTCTGCTTCCCACCAAAAATGGAAACAGAATGTGAACTACCAGACATATCTTGAGTTGACACTGAAGTTAGATCTAGAAGAGTTCAAGAATAAAAGAACATCAAAGTATTCTAGAAATCCACATTACCAATTTCCTTCATGATATAAGGGGACACTCTCGTTGGTTTAGAACCTGCTACTGCAGTACTTGCAGCAGTAACCTACTGATTTGCAATGGTGTAGCTCAGGTGCCTTCACTGAGATTACCGACGTTTGCAAAGTATTCTATGGCAAATTATAGTTTAGTGACCTATTGAATTCTTTGGCAACAAAGCTACTGTGCATTGCTGATTACAATATTATGCTGATATATCCATGTCACTGTTTAAGTAACTTGAGAAGTTAGTGCAAGAACTAGTGAGTTGTATTTGATACATTCCATGAAGTTAACTGTGGGTTATTGCATACCCTGAGAGAGCAAGATCAAATTTTAATGCATTATAAATGGGAGTGTAACATCTCCTTTTATCACTCTTACTCAGTGGAAATCACAGTCTTTGAAAAGACTACTGCTGCTCATGTGAAGCAATAGTCATTTCTGACAACTGTCAATTATTCCATACACAGTTGGATATGAGCTTTTATTCCTACAGAAGGTAAAAGATCTTTATCCTCTAACAACTTTCTAAATAGCTACACACACTTAAATGCTTCATTAATACCACAGGTAGCACCTGCAACCTTTTGCAGCTTGGAAATACACCTATGATTCACACACATTGAAGGCAACTTTCTCCTGTGTACCAAGGGACAGATGGCAGAAGTGCTTACTTGTGCCTGAAACTCGTGAAGCTTGTATATTTGTTCCAAAAGTTTCTTGCGCAGTTCCACTTTAGACTTCAGAGTCTTCCAGTTGGTCACTATTGCCTGCTGCTTTGCTTTTAGGTCTTCCACCTGCTTCTTTGAGCAGTGAGGCAGCACATGATCTGCAGAGCGGATCAGCTCCTGCAGCTGCATACAGGGACAAAAGAAGAAGGTAGGAAGAAGAGAGTCAGAGACATCAAGTAATATCAGAAAAGTTATGATAAGGGATATGTTAACTGTGCATGATATGTTAACTGTGCATGAAACTACAATTCAAGCAATGTTATCTGACTTAGCTTTTCTCACATTAAACAAAAACTTCCATAATTTCAGTTCTATGGAGTAATAGTGACATCCAGTGTTTGCCAAGCTCATCGCAACAGTGATTTTTCAGATTTTGTTTTCCCTTTTTACTATACCATTTATTATTTGAATAATGCAACCAGTATTATAATTGCTAATATAATGCAAGTAATTGCTAACTATTCCCTTTTTTTCTCATTGACCATTTAGCTTAACTGTGACCACATTCTCTTCATGTGTCTCTCATGCTCTTTTACCTTCAAAAGTCACAAATAGTTGGTGGAATCAATTTTAATGTTATCTGTCCTGAAGCCAATACGTTAGGCTGTTGATAATTAATACTGGGATAACTACTGAAATAATCTCAATATTACACTTGCTGTGTTTTATACTATATATACTATTGTATACTATTACATTTATTAAACAAAAGAGTGGAGAGTAAACTCATACTAGTTTTATTGGCCTCGTTGAAGCCAAGCAAATCTCTTATATACAAGGAAGCTGTTCTCATGAGCTGAAACTTTTTATGTTTGTATTATCTGCCCTATCCTTTTTTCTCATGGTCCAATTTGTACCCTTCCAAACATACAGAAAGTTTCAGACTGCTGCCCTATACTTTCTTCTATAATCCTTCATAGTCAATCAAAGCACTTTGTGTTTAATGAATATTAATTTTGTCTGCACATAAAACTGATTCTGGCTTTTTCCTTGTAATCACTTGAAACACTATGAAGAGGATGATAAGCACATCACAAAGCCTGGTATAATCATACATTTCAAACAATGATCAAAAATATCCCTGTGAATCACTTCAATAATCAGCACACATTATAGTATGTGCCTTATTTGAAAAGTTTTAAATTACTTACTTTATCACTGCCATTAGACCTTGAATATACAAAGAAAACCAGAAAACTAGTGAAAATCTGTAGAGATTTCCAGTCTTTCTGTGAGAGACAGTAGTAATTTGGTTCACAATACCAAATTATTATGCTTATCTTGGAAACTTGAATTTTGGCTACACATTAAAGATCCCAAATGACTGTCATTACCTGCTGCTCATTACCGGAGAGCTCATGTTCCAAGGCCACATGGTTGCGGAGCTGGGTTTGCACACCTCTCATGTCCTTAGCAACATCATCTGGAATACTTTTGGACTTGTCCTAGAAGGATGAAATTACAGAAAGCTTTGTTACTTTCTACTTCCAAGCAAAACTCACTACAAGCCTATATTAGTAATTTCGAGTAGTGCAACTCATACTGCACTCTTGAGGACATCCTGGGTTACTCAACTATTATAGGTAAAAGGAAGCCAGAAAAGTCTGTCCTAGTAACTCACTTCTAAGTATCTTAATGATTAAACTATTCAAATGAACTGTGACAAATAAAGGTTGAAGTCTTGCCTTGATCAGACAATATAAGAGAACGTCTTACAGGCTTTGTGTTGGGAATCAATCTGGAACAGCTGCTGCAGTGACATAGTGAATTCTTAAAAGTAGCATTAACAAGCAACAGCTTCAGCCCATTCTTTGGCATACAGGTGATCTTCCTGTGAACCATCTTTATATGAAAATTTTAATTATAGATGCTCAAGCAAGTTTACTGTAAAAATGAAAGAAATGGAGGGACCATTACATAAAAGGAAACTTAAACATTTATTTAGCTCAACAAAGGTTCTGAAGGGATTTAGTTGTTATCCAGACATGCACCGGAAATACAGCAAGCAGACAAAAAAGAGGCATTTCAGCTAGAGAACAACAGTGTTGCTAGAATAAAATGATTAGAAATTTGTTCCAGGTCAGTTTAGAGAAAATTAGAAGAACATTTCTAACCATTGAAGAAGTGCATTTATGGAGCAGATTCACAGGCTAGTTTGGGGTACCGACAATGCATCTTGGTAACGTCTTATAAAAGGAGATGTTGTAGTTGTCTATACTATGATGACACTGGAGTTGATGACTTAAGCAAGATCTCCTAGTACTTGGTTCCTATAAGAAATGGCTTTCCCTGGTAGACTTTTGACTAGGGTACACACGAAGGGATGGAGCAAGATGATTGTACTGCTCTCACTCTGGCATGAAGCTATTAACAAGGTGCAATGCAAGAAGGGTGTAGTGGCTGCCTGGACCAAACAGCATGGGGATAAACCAACAGCTGGTCTGTGAAGTGTTTCTGAATTCTGTTTCTGCCTCAGAATTAACTACTTCATCATTGAAGTTAAATATGCACCAGGTTCTGAAAATCCCAGCTGGCATATGGTAAAATAATATGATGTTTGATTTTCCATTCATGACAGAGGAAGAAAGTTGAATAGGGCAGTCTCTGCCAGGATAAACAACTAGAAAATCAATTGCATGTAACCAAACAATGCCCTGTTGCCTTGCAAACAGTGGAAACTATTGGATTGCTGCTCCTGTAAACATCTGCATTAGGGAAACCACACCCCTCATTACAGCAAGCATGTGGTTTCTCTGTGAAATTCTTCAGGATGTTCAGATAAAACAGAAGGCTGAAGATTTTTTATTGGGAGTTCTCCCCCTAGTTTTCACACTGGGACTGATTGAAAATATTGCCAGTACTGGGCACTGAAATGAGAGGAGAAGATTTTTGGCCCAGCTTTTCACATCAGGTCACACGATTGCCTGACAGCCTTCCAGGCTAATGGTTACTGTAATCCAGACAAATGCCTTTTTCAAAGGATAGTTCTTCAGCACATAAAGCTACAACAGCATACAAGGAGCCACCACGGTGAGGCAGTAAACAGTTTCTTAGGCCTGATGACTCCAAACACTACTGTATACATTGCACTGTGAGACAACTTAGTTCAAGCACTGTTCTCAGCTTATCCCATAGATCAACAACTCCAGCTACACCTGGTTCCACCAGTGGTTCTCATTAGGTAACCAGTCACGTATCTAAGGATTACAAAGGATTTTTTTTTTTTTTTACACTTTGAGTAATCACACAGGTTTCTTACTGAGAACTTTTTTGAAGTCATTAGTAAGCATGCTGAAAATCACAAGAATATTCCACAAATGAAGCTGAAATAGAGTTCGCATTATATGAGAATTTCCCATTATTTTTTACCTCAATATGTGCCAGAGCATCAGTTAGATCTTGGTAACACTTGTGAATTGCCTCAGCGTCTCTCAGCCGTGCACCTCGTAATCTGGTAATTTCTAACAGCTCCTCCCAAGAGTTCCTTCAAGGGAGGATGGGGGAAAGAACCATGTAAAACATTTAAAGTAGGAGTAATGGAGACCAACAGTCTGAAGAAAAACTGAAAACAAGACCTCCTCTTACTTTGTTTTTCATTTCTGCCATTAAATTCTGTTGGAGTGATTCTCTGAAGGACAGCATGTCTCTCACCCTACTCTGTCCTCCTGTCTACTCCATAAGCTTAAAGAGATGGTCCTATGTGAGACAGCCCTTCTCAATTATGCTTTTTGGGTTTTATATGCAGGACTTGGACAACTGAGTCATAGAATCACAGAATATCCTGAGTTGGAAGGGACCCCAAAGGACCATCAAAAACCAACTCCTGGCCCTGCACAAGACCACCCCAAGAATCACACCGTGTGCCTGAGAGCATTGTCCAAATGTTTCTTGAAGTCTGTCAGACTTTGTGTCATGACCACTTCCCTGGGGAACCCTTTCCAGTGTCCAAACACCCTCTGGGTGAAGAACATTCTCCTAATATCTAATCTAAACCTCCCCTGACATAGCTCCATGCTGTTCCCTTGGGTCCTATCATTGGTCACCAGAAAGAAGACATCAGTGCCTGCCTCTCCACTTCCCCTCATGAGGAAGTTGTGATGAGGTCTCCCCTCAGTCTCCTCTTCTCCAGAGGAGGCGGAACAGACCAAGTGACCTCAGCCATTCCTCATACGGTTTCCCCTCTAGGCTCTTTACCATATTCATAGCCCTCCTTTGGACACTTTCTAAGAGCTTTATATCTTCCTTACACTGAGGTGCCCAAAACAGCAGACAAACCTACTTCTCTTTCAGGTCAGTTTGGACTGATGCCAGAACTAAGAAGCTCAGAACATTTTACTGTTATTCTAAAGAGCAATCATGGGATTCAAACTCAAAAATCAGAATAAAAAAACAACGAAACTCCTAGCCTTTCAGTTAGGTGATCTTGTTTCAAAGGGCAAAGGAAGTTCACTCACCCTTACTAGTAAAGCACCTCTGATGCAATTTACAGAAGCCAAAAGCAAGCTAAAACCAAGTAGGTAATGCCTGCATTATAGTAGTCAATTTTTAAATGAGGGTGGCAGCAGCTCTGCTTCAATAAGCAAGCCACATATTCTGCAATTAGAGAATTAGGAGAACCTGACTTATTCTTTTCTAGTATTTTGTCTCTTCTTCTTTCTCAAGAGTGAATTGAAAGGACAAAGCATTATGGAGCTAACATGAGTCTCCTACCTTAGCTCTTTCTGCATCTGCCGAATTTCCCGGGACCCAGAATGGTCGCAGTTCAGCAGGTGGTCTGCCAGCTGCTGGAAAGCCACAACTCTTTTCCCAACTGCTTCCAACTGGTGTCGGAATGTGTCATATCTGGCACAAAGTTGCTTTTGAAGGGAAAACAAGAATAAAAAAAAAACAAAACCTTTTGAGTGCTCTCATTTCCCAAACATACCTGCTTATTTAACAGAGCACAGCCAAAAGACAGGTAACAAGCTGACCATACTTACAGATGGAGACCCTGTAGAATGACAGGATTTTACCTCCAAAGAATGTGAGGAGCTGCAAACTCTTAGTAAAACATGAGGTTTGTGATGCAAATGGGAGGCAGAAACATTATTAGTGGGGATGGAAACAAACATTCTATGTACAATGAATTTCAATTATTAAATTATATGTTTTCCCTTCATGAATGCAAATGTGTATTCAGTAATGGATAATGCAGTCTCATTTTAAGGTTTAGAATACAAGTTATTTTGAAATAGATTATAAAATGAGGATTCAGAACAGATATTGATTTTTAACAGGCTGATATTAGATTGGTTTCTATGCTCCGTGAAGAGGTATAACTGTAGATGTTCATACAGCAATCAGCAACCTCAATGAAAAAAAAAGAAAAAAAGGAAAAGTCCTAAATGGATACCATACTAAAATACTTGATTATTAAAAGTAGAAAGAACTTGCTCTCTGAAGGCGTAGACATTTTAGCATGCAGTTGTTTCACACAGCTCACCCCTCATAGTAGCAGGATGTAAGTGTTAGGCAATGCTGTCTGTTCTTCAGACCTTCCCACCCACTCTTCACCCTTTTCTCTTCCCATCTTCCAGTTATTTATCCTTATTCCTTACTCTGTCTTTTAAGTTTTCATGGACAACCTTAGAATCTGTTTACAGTCTTAATACATATAGTTTATTTGATTTTTGATCTGTTACTCAAAAAACTCACCAAGACATGTTCATAATCATTTCCATAGTCTTCAGAGCTGGCTGTTTGTTTCTGCTGAGTGATCCAGTCTTCCAGATCTTCATATTCTCGTACAAACTCATGCAAGACAAGAGTTTCATCCAGCTTCTTCCCTCTGTTGGGGGAAGGAGAAAAGGTAATACAATTAGATCAAGGCAATACGGAGGAGGGCAATCAGTAACTTTCTTCCTATGAATCCCCAAAACCTCTCACAGCAGACTCACTCTCTTTAATGAAAGAGCTGACTATTTCTGAAAAGTGGAAAGTATGTTTGTAGGATGACAGCTGTCATCCAGGTCATACTCCTCTCATTGGCTGGGTGTCCTGGAAGAGCGCTGTGCCTAGTTGAGTTCTACCCCTGTTCTGCTTTTGATTTCAGTTGGGTTTCATTCCCGATGTTTTTTTTGTTGGGTTTTTTTTCTTCCCATGGAAATATTTTTTATTTTTTTCCAGATCTGCCCTGATCTGTCTTTCTAAGGATAATAGTATTGCTCATGAAAATGAGAAGGAAATCTTTCTGAGGATGGTGCATCAGGAAAGTGGATGCTATGAAAGCCTTTTGATGCAATTCTGCTTACATTGCCTGTTTAGCAAAATTGCTGCAACCATGGTCTAGAGTATCTTATAACTCAGCCAGACATGTTACAGGCCTTTCACAGTAAATAATATATCAATTTTCCATCTGCTAACACTGACTGACCATCGTGCAAAAATTCCAGGAAAGATGAACTTGGCTTCCCTCTTTGAATCACAACTGCTCATCACAAGAGAGGTAGCCTGCTGAGAGAGAGACCAGCCCAAAGAGAATGCAGATGAGAGGTACAAACCAGAGCGCCAATAAAGCACAACAGGACTCAGGTTAACATTAAGCATGAGTGAAAAAACAAAACATTTCTGTGTTCAACACACACATGTTTTGGTATTTCTAGATTGAGGTTGTTTTTTTTTCTGAACTTTTCATTCACAGGATTTTCTATTGTTGCTTTTACTTTTTCAATTGTAAACAAGAATAGAAACAAAAGGTAAAATACCAGGCTTAATAATTCTAGTATTCAGATTAATCTATTTGTTATTCTACTTGCAGAGCCTCATTCTTTTTCTGAATGAAATTTTTGTGAAAGAAAAATCTAAACTGTTCAGACATTTGTTCCTTCCTGACAACAAAGTGCTAAAAACCTGAGCTAACTGTCCCATTGTAAACACCTTGCTGTAATAATAACAGAAAGGAAGTGAAATGAAAAGTAAATGATTCATTCAAGAATAAAAAGCTTCCTATACTAACAGAGTCACTGGGCATAAAGATAAGTGTATCTGTAATTTTCTCCCTTATGTTATGTAACAAATTAAGTAATTTTCAAGCAACATTAAGGAAATCTTTTAAAAACACTTTTTTCTTATTTTCCTGTGGCATATTCCAAGTACCACAAATGCAAGTCAGAACCTGGCATCTCAAGTCACTTTACAGGAGGATGATTAAGGATAAAGAGGAAATTTGTGGGCTTCAAATTCTTAATATGTAGCAAAACTCCTTGAATACATTGTAGATGTTTTGTTTAGCAAAACCGAAAAGCTTATAGGTGCCTGGAATTATAATATAGAAACAAGCAATTTCCTAAATACAATTGAAAAGGGAGGAGATAACTATTATGATCTAAATTCCAGTAAAGTAATTGGAGATATCAGTGGGCTTTGAATCAAAGCTAAGACCCAAGAGGCAGTTCTAGTTTATACCTTGCTGCTGATAGCTCCTGTAACTCCTGGAGTCTTGAGCGAACTTGTTCCTTTGGTGCATCAACCTCAGTATACTGGATGAAGCCCACAAGAGGAAGACTTTGGGCACTTTCGCTCAGTTCTTTTATTAAATCTTGGTAAATGGCAATCTCATGCTCCAGTACCTGGCAAAGAAAAATAGTGAATTGAGAGCCAGTTGTCGAAGATCCACTGTTTGTGAACAGCCTACAGTTGAGACATTAAATGATGAGAAATACTTTTGGGAAGGATATGACATTTCCAAGACTTGATCAATTTTAGATAATTTTCTAGCAACATTTTTTGAAAAAAAAATGTACATAAATTCATACAAGTTAGGCGAATAAAGACAATTAGAATTTCCTGATGCATTATTAGGTAGAGAAAAATATCCCTGGAATAATGCTCTATCTGTATCTTTGATTTTAGGAAAAAAATATAAGGCTTCTGCATGCATCTGTTGAAAAAGGAAAATAAGATGAAAATATTCACTATTATCCTTTTTACCCAAACTACATTTTTCCAGTCATATTAGTGTACCGAATTGATCTCTTCTATCAGTCTATTCACACATGGACATATATCAACACAAAATATCTTGTAGATGGCTTGACACTCAATTACCAACAAGACAAAAAATTTTATAGCCTCAGACAGACCAAAAGATCATGCTAGCTTAAAGAATTTAAGCAGAGAAATACCTTATGTTTCTTGATGAGTTTCAGTGTTCCATCTTCATCTTTACCATAGTCCTTGCTTGTTACAAGTGGATATTTTTCTGCAATCCAAGCCTCCAGGTCTGAAGTATTCACTAAAAACTATCAGTTAAAGAGAGAACAAATGAGTTTTTACTTCAACTTTAAAAACACTCATATCACTTTTTACCTAATAAATTCTAAATGGAGGGTGCACTGTAAGATTTACTGTGACGTTTTATTAAATATTTAGTTCACCGTTCTGTGAAATCATAAAAAGATGAAGGAGATCACAGATGGAAGACTTCAGCGCAGGATAACTAAGGTCTTTTCCAGGTATTACAGCTCTGGCAGTAAGTTTCAATTTGTCTCACTTTTCTTTCTTCACATCACTTTCCTTTCTGACTCTTTCTTTACCTTATTCACTAAGGGTAGGGGTTAACTATCATATCAGTGTGACATTTCTCCTTCCCCTACCTGAGAAGTTCAAATCACTATAAGAATTGGGCTTCATAAAGTTTACAGTATGGATAAGTGTTTTTATAGATAGAGGAAATAAGAGCCAGATGATCATATACCCCAGGGAACATACCATAGCTGGTCCGGTAAACTCTGTGCAAACATTGTTTATGTCTACCAAACAGCATGTGCTACCTGAATAACTGAACTCCTACACGATCCACTGATGACAGAAAATTTGGATTATTGATATAAATATTTGCATGCAATTTTTAACTTTTTTTTTTTTTAAAAAAAAAAGGATAAAGGCTAAGGATAAAATTCCAGAAGCCTATAGAAAAATAATAGAATCAAAATCCCTAACTTTCTCTGAATCTTTACTGGGAACAGGTAAAGATTGGATAGCATAAAAAATCCCCTCTTTTCTGATTTTCTTATCATAATTCTCCAGTATGAAGGGCCAGTTCAGGATTCATTACATTAATTAAGTCAAAGCCTGAGGCTGTATAAAGATACTGAGAAGGGAGCTACTACTAGGAGAAATGTGTGTTCTGTACAGAACCATAAGGGGTGGATATAGAACTCAAAGGAAACCTCTAGAGCAGCAGGTCTAGGCTGGGGGCTGCATTCAACTACTCAGTCCAGCCCTCCACTCCCATGAGTCTGGCCTCAAGCAACTGAAGAGAATACCAGTCCCAGCAGAGCTGGGTTTTTATTCACTTTAATACTTTGGTCTTCTTATTTGTCTGAAGAAGCTACTGTGTAAGCTCTTTGCTGTAATTTGTACCTCCTGGAAGCCAACTGAGTGCTGCAGCTGCTTCATCCTTTCCTCACAGGACTTCTCCAAGCCCTGCCAGGCAGTCATAAGCTCCTGGCATTTCTCACTTATTTTCTGAGGTGATGGGTGCTGGCCTGCAACCATTGTCTTTCCTTTATCCAGGACCCGTTGGACTTGCTGTTTATGGGCAGTCACTTCTGCCTGCAGTTCCTGGGAACGAGATAAAATAAAAAGTAGAAATAAAGGAAGAAAATGTGAGGATAAATAAATTCTGTTACTCCTAGTCCTAAGGAAAACTGGCAGCTGGTGACAGTGGGTAGAGTACAGCAAGTGGACACAGGCTGTCTATTTCTACAACACCTGCAGCTTCAGACACTACTCCCAGTCCCACTTGCATAATGCTCTGCTCTTGGTACTGCCATTGAGAGAGGAAAGAAGAGTATGTAAGGAAGCAGCAGACATCCCTTAACTTCCCTACACCAGAGTCCTCAGCCTTATGCTTTGATCTGGTCCTACCCCTTCTCCCCTTATCTTTACCATGCTCTTGCCCCTTCCCCTGTCCAGCAGTCAGGAAGGTTTGGGAGGTAGAACAGAACAAGAGATGAGACACAAAGCTGGGTGAGTCAGCAAAGAGTGTTGAGCTGCTGGTCAGAAAACAGAATATCCCAGAAGATGAATAGGGCTGGAGGATGATGGGAAGAGAGATACTGTCAACAGTACCATGAAAATTATTAGACTCCTGCTCCATAAGGCATCCCCACTGGTTTTATAATCTTTCTCATGGAATTTGCAATCAAGGTGCTGCAGAATCCAGCATTGCCTGTGGTGCAGGACAGCCAAGATGTCCCTCTGGCTGTGAGGAATTGCTACATAGAACCCAACTCCCCAGAAATCAGTGTTAACTTACCTTTATAAACATATTGACTGTAGCTTGTTCAAACCATTTTACAAGCAGTATAGAATTAAAATAAATGTTAAATGGTTGTTACATGCTCTTGTAGAAAATCTAGCACGCATGAACTTCAAGATTTCATGTATGAGGAAGTAGTAAGCATAAAGCTACAGTAGGACAAGCATGTAACAGTAAAAAAAAAAATCAACTCAGATTGAGCCACAAAGGAAAAAAAACCTCTTATTTTCTGTTTAGTGTAAGGTACACTGGCTTTTTATCCACTTTCAATAGGAAGAGCTACACAATTTCTCAGAATAATAATACTCCAAAATAGGACAAATTTTGCAGTTCTCACAGGAATTTTGTATTTGCTTGGAAAATCATCACCACATTGCTAATTTGTCTCAATCCACTGAACCATTTTAGCTGGACTAGAGCTGTTAGCAGTGAATGCACTCATACAAAGTGTTAACTGTGCAGGTTTGCAGGCTGAGATGAAGTGCAATGTGTCACCATGCTATAATACACTTGATTAAAGGAGTTACCTTGTGTTTTTGCAACAGGTTTTGAGCCACATCCAAGGACTTCCCACAGTTGGTGGAATGGGCAATAGCCAAGTGCTCATTAATCCAGTTCAATTCCATGTCATGATAATGGTAGAACTCATAAAGATCCACTGCAGCTTCCAGCAACTTACGCCTCTCATAAAGAGGTGCTTCCAAAGACTCAAACCTAGGGGTTATCCATTAAATATATGTTAAAACAAAGCTTTATCCTAATTCTGCTACAGGAATTAGGTTATGATACCATTGTGAAGATTTCAAACGCTAGACACTTCTTTGCAATTAAATATCAATGGTTAATGCTGACTGCATATACAAGAATCCCTTCTACAGAAGGCTACTTATGACAAGTACATGATAACACTAAACGTAAGCAGAGAAACTGATTTAGGCTTTTGAAGTCCTAGGCTTGTCCTGTGATGTTTTAAGAAACTAGTCACTATTAAAGCAATGGATGACCTATGGATAAGCAAGGGACTAGAGGAGGAGTGCAGCAGGCAAGGAGCAATGTCCAGCCACAGAGGTTGAGATGGGTCAACAGGCAGCTGTACAGTTGCAGATCAAAGCCTAATTGTGTTACAACTGGGAGGAGAAATCATTCTTGAGCATGGGTTAAACTTAATCAACTAAAAGACATTTTCTATAAGGTAGAATAAAAAATGCTATTTGTCATAAGGAGTGGAGACAAAAAGAGAGTGACACCTCACCTTTTCAGATATTTCTGTGTTTCATCCAGAATCCTCTGGGAGTCAAAGTGATTGGTGGCCATTTTCCTTGCATGAGATACAATAGCATTCATTTTCTCTGCCAGCTCATATGTCTCATTTTCCAGCTGTCTGTGCTGCTTGAGTAGATTACGGCTGGAGCGCAAATCATGACCTGTCTCAGGTTCCTGAAGAACTTTCTCAATTTTCTCTATCTTCTTTTTGGCATCCTGCCAGGAAAAGATTACAGCACACTCATCCTGTCCTTTCAACACCATTTTCTTTCACTAATCCCTTCCTATGACAACTTCTTGGACACAATTTTTAAATCCAATTGTCTTTTCTTGATAACATAATGACTGAGTGTCTCTAAGAGGTCTCTCCCGGGAATATTTTCTTTTGCAAACTAGTTTGGAGTACTCTTCTCTCTGAGCCACGAAAACACACAATTAAAAACAGCCTCTTTGAACTATCTTCAGTGACATAATACAAAACAATCAAACAATCTTCAAAGATTTCAGATTGTAGCTACAACACAATGACAGTTCCCTGTCATAATGATATTGAAACACCTTCATAACACATTGTTACTCTTGCATAATTTTCCTGGATAACAGTGTGCTTAATACAGTGCCTTGCCTCCAGCCCTCAAACTGACTCCAAGCAAGCATGTTTCCACAGCAGTGACCTGACCTTTACAGAGTTTTGATTGTTTTCCTGGTACAGGGTACCCACACAGATGCAGTGCTGAGCCTGAGCTCAACAGCTTTGTGTCTTGGTGCTGTGCTGGCTCCGTTATCCTGCTCATAACTTTGGAATGAGCTTGGTTAGTGTTACACTGAACTTTCTCTCTGGAGATTGTAGACAGAATGGACACTTTAAAATACACTTTTGTCTGGATGGTATTATCCTCATTTTTTTGACATCCACACAACACAGCAACCGGGCTCCTAGGCCATTCCTCCCCACTGTTCTCTGTGACTTCCTGACCTGGAGCAGTTCCATGAGCTGTTCTTGCTGTCCAGCTTGTCTCAGCTTGTCACCTCGCTCTATCATCTTGCCATACAATTCCTTCCAGTTCTTTTGAAGCTCTGACATCTTCTCCTGGATAGAAACTGCAGCATAATGGTTGTCTTGAATCAACTGATTTCCTTTCTGGAGAAACACAGCACATCATTTTATTAGCAGATCAGCAACTATGAAGTTTGGGACAAACTTAGCTTCAAAATTGCCTTCACCTTTATCAGTGTCGTAAAGTGCTTCTCATTAGCCAACATTTCCTTCTCAGCAGCCTCATGCCACTTAAGTTTGCGTAGAACATTTGTTGGATCACGATAGGATTCATCTGATGCAATCTTGTACTTCTCTTCCATCCATATTAAAAGCTCAGCAGTATCACGATTAAACTCCTTACAGAAACAAACAGAATTAAATGGATTTAACTTCTGATTCTGTGTGGGTTTGCAGTGAAGAAATGTGATATATTTTCATATAAAAGTTGTTCTACATAATGAACACTTTTAAATGAAGTATGATCTTAAAACCATTAATGAGGTTTTAAGCCTTCATAGTAAAATCTCTTAGTCCCTTTTTACCACATTTACTAATTTGTTGCCTTTAATTGTCAGTGAATCAATTCTATCAATTCTCATTGATAGAATATTTTAACCATAAGAGGTCCAATCCTCCAGTATAACTTTGTATCTCAGCACTGAAAGCTGAATTTGGTGCCAAAACTTACAGTAACTATGCTAAAATATTAAGGTCCAGAACAATAATAAGTAATGAGCAGAATAAACTTATCCAGTAGACAAAACATTCTATTTGTATTTTTCATTCAAAAATCTCCATTTTTGTTTTGGAATTTTGCTATGGCTATAGCTTTGTAAGATTTATCACCAGTGCATCACCTGCTCCCTGGTGAGTGAGACTCTGTCTCACAGCCAAAGAGAAGGTGAGCTGCAGTAGGAATGCTCAGTAGTTTGAAATTTTGTCTCATAATAGGACAAAGGGGAAAACTGAAAATTTACACATCTCTGACCAAATCTGCAGTACTACTCTTTTTACCTGTAGCTGCAGGGAATCCAGCAATCTCTGTTTTCTCTTTGCATTGCTTTGTATCAGCTGCTCCCACCGTTGCCGGAGAGTGACCATTCTTTCTTCAATGCTACCAAGAAAAACAGGAAGTTCAATGCAGTACTAGTCTTATTGGTTCGCCTTGGTTCTGCTGCAGTCATGAGTACACTATAAATGTAATCTAGTTCCAACAACTCTGCTAACAGGAGGAAGGGATATACAGCCCTGTCCTACCACTGTGATGGGCTCATCTGGAAAGCAGCTATTGCTTGCCAGCTGCTCTGGATTTTCCTTTTGTATGGCTGTGTTACGTTAGTGAATTGTAGTCACGCACTAAAACACCGACACCTTCCTCTGTCCTGAATATTCCACCTTAACTAATAAATTTCTCTGTAATGTATATACAATGAAGCTTTGGAATGACCTTCTAGTGCTGGCAAGAAATCAGATCTAAGGGCATTTTTTATAAATTCGTGGAGGGAGTTTTCAAGACATTATCACTTGTGATCACAAGAATATAGTCTTCTGATCCAAGAGGTCCATTCTAACCCTCTATTTCTAATTCTTGTTTGCAAAGGGGTCCCCTTAGTATATCCTAGTGGCTCTAGTACAGAAAAAGGAATTACAGATAACAGTTCAGATTCAATAAAGACACAAAAGATCTGCTCCCAATGAATTATGTCCTTGTGAAGTCTTCTGTAACTTTTTAAAAGCAAACAATAGTTCTAACACATGATACAGATAAATGAAAGAATTCTTTTTTGGTAGGCATTTAATCAGTTTACATTAAAGAAGTTTTGTCACTGTATGTCATTTATGATACAAGGCAAATTATTCTAGTGTTCTGCCAAATGCCACTTCTAACCTAAAGCATTTTATTTATCCAGGAAATCTATTTAAAAAAAAATTCCTTTTCTCCTGCTCATCCAGCAGATCATGGTTTGGAGGTCAACTAATTTCTCCTCAGAGAAAGTTTTTCCTCTCCACCTAATCACACTGGATCATTTATTAAAGCTAAATAAATATTTCGACTCACACATGAGATGCAAAGTGCCTGCTCTCTAGGAGGTTCGCCCCATTTTCATTAAGTGCTTCAACTCGTCTCTTCAGTGCCACCAGCACTTGTTCAAATTCCTGATGTTGCTTCAGCAGACTTCGAACAGCATCTACATGGTCCTGCATTTAAGAAAAAAAAAATGATCAAGACTTTTCTTGATTGTATTGTTGTTTCTCTAGCAGTGAAAAAAAAAAAAAATTGACCTTATTTTCCTCCTTCTCTCTCAGGCAGGTAATGTAGTGTACATTTTGCATGTGCCTGAGGATGTTCAGGACTATAAACAAGCAGCAGGTGTTCAGGTTTGTGTCATATCTGATTCCTCTGTTCTATGTTTCCATTATTGTTTCGTTGTCACCTTTTAAGAAAGTCTGCATTCTAAATTTATGTCAGCATTCTGGCACATCTAGAGATGTGCAATACAACAGGCTGTAACTAAGTAAAACTTTATTCCACTCAGTTGATCCAAAAGTATCAATGTTTTAGGTTCAGCTGAAAACATAAGAGATGGTGAGACACCACAAACTCCTTCTTCACTGATCTTGTGAATATTGCCTGCATTTGTTTTTTTGCTTCATTTGCTTTAAAGTTCTTAAATCAGTGAAAAGAAAAAGTGGGTTTTTTTTATAAAAAGTCATGTTTTTACTTGACAAAAAAATTATGTTCAAGCTGAAATATTTTTTTTAATGGTTAGCCACCAAACAGATGAGTCAATTTTATATAAACCATATGACATGTTCAAACATAGCAACAAATCACAACTCTAGTTGGTTTTAAATTTTTTTTTTGAGAGACAATGAGCTTTTTTCCTCATGAAGATGAGCAAGAATATAAGAACGTTAATGAGAACCTGAAAGTTTAATTCCCAACTATGAAAAAGCCATGACTATAAGAACAAGGAAACCAGTTTAATTAAGAAAATTGTTGCTACTCCCTGCATGGGGAGATGAGAGAACAAGATCAGCTGCTGTACATACCCCAAGGTCATCTCCCCGGAGAAAGGCCTCATGGCCAGAGAGGGCTGCATTGATACGGTCTCCTTCCCTATTGAACTTCTGCAATTCTAGGCCATCCTGCAGCTTTTTCAATCGCTGTTCCCACATTTTCAGCAGTTCTTTGTTCTCCTTGGCAAGACTCTCCATGGACTGGTGGACGTCCATGGTCCTGCTGTTACTGGGTTGTTGGTGGATTACTTTGTGCCCTAGCTCTTCCAGCTGCACAAATCTTTCCAGAGTCAAAAAGAAAAATGAGACCTCATTGCATGAGGGAATATGAATTCTCTTTCATCACACCTCTTTGCTCTTTTGGCAGTGCCTATACATCAAGCTTCCCCCTTCCCTTTTACTCTTCTCCTGCTGGCCATGGTTGTGCACTACAAAATGCAGCTGGTTTTTTGCTCAGGGATATATGCTGCAGGCAGTAGGTGAGATTTCCCTATTTGGACAGAAAGCCCATATAAGCAGCAGGCTTTCACATCAAAAGGGAGAGGAGGGCAAACAATATCTGGAAATTCATAACAAGCAGAAGAAGAACTAAAAATTACGGCAAATGGAACATAAGGCCTGAGAAGGAGTAGGGGAACTGGAATAAAGTGCAGATGGCACTATCTGAGTTTGTCAAGAGAGCTTATGTAATACTGTTACCGCCAACATACAGCTCCTCCTTCCCCCTCCATCAGCCATCAGGATAAGTATGCAAAAGCTGACTGGATTTTGTGTTTTGCAGTCTCCTTTTGACAGTAAGTTCCAAGTGCATTTGAATAAACTTTTGGCATCACTTTCATGCACAATTTATGTACAAGATAGACATGTTTCATTTTCACAGTACTGTTGTCATATCACCCCGCTGCCCACCCTCACAGAATCTCTCTACCTTTCTTTCTGAGATCTAATTTCTTTCAGCAGGTCTTGATGTTCCTTCAGCAATTGCTCTGCAGAAGCCACATCCACACCCATTTCTTCACTGCTCAGCTTCTCCTGAATGCCTTCTGCCCACAGTAGAAGCCTACGGCTGTCTTGCAGAAAGGACTGTTGATTTTGTGCCCACTGCAGAATGTCCTGCTTCTTTTGGGTCTCCAGCTTGAGCTTTGCCAGAAGTCTCTCCATGTTCTCTACCTGCTCGGTGATGGCCTTGCTCTCTGCGGGGTTGGTGTCCTTAATACTGAAATAAAATACATTCAATTGGATGAACAGGCATTTATTTAAAGTTTGAATCAAAACTCTTTAAAAGGAACAGATTTGGATATTTACACTTGCATTAAAAAGAAAGTCAGCTAGGGCAACAAATTCTCATTGTGAATGTATAGAAAACTCAAGGCAGTAAAAAATTTTAAAGTAGTGTTTCAAGTTCAAACTCCTAAGCACAATTCTCTGCTATCTTCTTACGTTCACCCTTGTTTCCCCCGATTACCCTCTTTCAGGGTCTAAATGATACTTCCACATTTTGAACTAGGTAAATCCCATTAGTAGAAGTAACTAATCTACTTGCTAGAACTACAGACAATCCTGTGATATTTATCCTCCTACACCTGTGAAATCTAGAAGCAATCACTTCACCAGTTACCCAGCCATACTCAAGAGAGATCATCTCCATCCAGCATGCAAGTTCGTTCTTTGGACTGCTAGAAAGAAAAACTTCAAAAGCTGCTCATCCTCTTTATAGCCATAATTTACAACTTGATCTTAGAGAACTATCAAAGAGTACGGAAAAAAAGAGAAGGTTACTTACGACTTTGCAACACTCCTCAAGTATTCAATTTTCCTCTCTATCACCAGGACCTCTCTCTCAACTGTATGCAGTTTGCGCTTGTCTGACTCCAGCCCAGCAGGCAAGTTCCCTGGTTCCAGATCCCTGAGTTGGACCATCTTGTCTTGCAGTAGTACTCCTATGCTCTGACAGTCCTGAAGAAATGTCTTCACATCAGCCACTCCAATCAGTTCGGAGCCCTTTTCCTCTTTCAGAGTTTCCATGCGACTCCAACTTGAAGAAAGATAACAATTGTTATACATGAACTATATCCTTTTTTTTTGTTCAGAAAAAGTCTTTTATAAAGATTTCATCAGGACTTAAGTGGGCTAAGGAGGTGAACACTAGCACTACCTCACAACATTTCATATCAGTGCCATGTCAAACAAGGGGACCCTGCTCATTTCTGACCAGGTTCAGAACACGCTGAATATGATGCAAATCAACTACCATGGTCAAAATAAGGACCTGGCTGTGCCTCACGGTTCCCACTGAGTGACATGGTGCCAGGAGTATGTTCACAACAGGTACTAAATATACTTCATGAAGTTAAACATTTGATATTCCTTTCAAGGTTTGTGAAGGGTGTCCTCACCTGATGCTTAAGTAACCAAATCAGCTGCTGCAGTGCAGTACAGACAGAACTACTCTGAATACATCACTGTCACCTGTGGGTGAATTCACATTGTGCTCTAACATGCACACACAAATTGCTGCAGTTTAAATATCTTGGTGTCGGGGGCCTAGAAGCACCCTGGAGGCCTGACACTGGGCTCAGGGCCAGCCTACAGCCAGGATGAGGGCTGCCCCCTTCCCACTGATGAAACTGTTGTCTAGATTGGGAATGAATGGTCGGGTCTCCAATTGGCCCCATGAGACAATCCTCTGTTTATCAGTAGCACTTTTACCTGATGTTCATCTCTTCCAGCCAAACCTGGATCTCAGAATATTTGCTGGGACTGATCTTCCCATATTTAACCGCTAATTTTTCAATGTCTCCCAGCTGGCCTTTGCCTGCAGCCAGTTCTGTTAAAAAGCTCTAAAGTAGAAAAGATAAGAATTAAGAACTTGAGGTTTTTCCATTTCTACGGACACAATTCTCAATAATCTGTCATATCCACTCATCTCCCACTTTCACAGTTGGCTTCTCCATTTACCAGCGTGCTGACAACATGCACAGCTGTGCATGTAGCTCTCCTACAGCTCTCCTGGCATCCCCTGGTGTGCACAGTACACCTGTGCACATATGTCCCACTCCACTGGGGTGTAAGTGCACCGATGGATTTTTTCATCATTTGGCATTTTTTCCAAGTGGTGTAAGATAAACCACAAAAAGAATCCTTTTGTACCATGATATTTGTACAGGATACAATGCTCACAAAAAGATAAAGGAACAGAATCACATCAGCTTCTGTAATCTGGCATAGTCTGTATGAAAGAAATATCTGATCTATGCATGACTCTAAATTGAATGAAAAGACTCTCAAAACATCATTTCTCAACTATCTTTTCTCCCAAGGTCAATCTGATTTAAAAGGTGTCATCTGTGATCAGGGAAAAGGGATACCTGATATTTCTGCTGCATGACCTCCACATTGTCTGCTTGAGGTTGAAGAGTCCGGAAAATGTTCTCTTTATCTTTCATCCATGACTGAAATTCTTCGCAAGAGCTACAGAAGCGGTAATAGCCAATCATCTCCTCCAAAGCCTTTTTTCTGTTCTGTAAAACAGATGAAGACTTAAGTATTTTTGTAATGACTCCCTGCCATTTGAAGAAACAAACAAACAAAAAAAATCCTTGCATTTAAGCTACAATACACAGGTGATACTCAGTAATTTTCCCAGACACTGCTGAAAGAGAACAGAAAGGTGATACTTCAAGATCACAATACTTCTTCCCAGAGCAACAGTAGTTTAAAAGCATAAGAGAAGCAGTTGGAGAGTACTCAGCCCCTGACAGGCAGGAAGGCCACTGTGCTACTTGCTGCTGCTGACTGAAGACTTAATGCAGTAGTCTCAGGAACAGGTATGTCACATAGTCACAACATGTTTTCGTTGGTCTTTACGGCATGATTACACTAGGTGGGAATGCAAAATAGCATATTGAGAATGCAGGTTACAGTTGTTTATTTTTTCTGGTACCGGGCCAGACAGCCTGAATATTTAGGACCTACAGCAAGCAACAATTATGGGGGGGAAAAAAAAAAAGATTAAAGAAAAGAATCTGCTTTTCATAAAATAAAAATACTAGCATGTAAATGGGAAGTTTGCCAGCATAAAATGGGTTTGGTACAAAACTTTAATGCTAATCTTGAGCCTTGAAGGCCTGCATGAACTAACAGGATTGAGGCACATTATTTAACTGAAAGCAGCAGCCAGCACGGCACTTAATTTTTATTTGCATTACCTTGGATTTGACTTTTTTTTGTGAAATGCAAAGCAGAAGGGGACACTATACCTCAGCCATGCTCTGTAGATTTTTGTAAAGTGAATCTATTTCGTCTTGGGTTTTCCAGATGTTCTCTGAAAGAAAATGAACATCTGGACTTAAGGTTCCAGTGGATGCAGTTTCAGATGTTTCCCAGGTTCGACTGAAGGGTAGCTTAGTTGTCTTTTGATTTAAGTCACTTGGGGCTTCCCTCTGCATCACCTGTTAAGAAAAATTTAACTAAATCAATGAATGAATATTTCTGATTTGGATAAAAATTTCACACAGAAGGGAAATTTGGACTTGCTAGTTCAAATCACAGCATTCTGACCCTTTAAACCAAACATTTCAAGTATTTCTTTGAATTTGTTTCCATTGTTTTATTCTGAAAGAATGAACCAAACAACTGAAAAAAATTTTGGTTTTGTTTAAAGAAGTTTAAATCATTTAAAAATATATTGATTGAGTAAAAATTCTTATTTTGGACACAGGTAAAAGTTGTTTTGTTGTAGTGGGTTTTTTAATATTTTTTATAAGTTTCTAAAGCAAGGCAATTGACTATGCTCACAGTCCTATTTGTGGTGATATTTTAGTACCTGAATATTTCCAGTTTCAAAGCCTGTGAGTGCCCTAGTGAATCAATACTTCTATTTGTATATGGATACCATCTTGTCACATGCTTTTTCATGTTTAATAACAAAGCAATAAAATTTTTATTCTAATAAAAATTAATGCTGGATTGATGGAGTAAAGGGAAGTGCTCATAGCTTTCATATTTGTTTGGCTAAACATACAAGTCTAAGAGAAGCAAACTATGAAATGTGTCATTCATCTCTTCTGAATTCTGTTATTAAGTGAACTGATTTCAAGTCAGAAGTTCCCTTTCTAGTCAGTGAGAAAGAGGGGCATCTGCAAAGGTTGACTTCATCCCATATGCCTTAACATCTGTCCTGGATTGTATGAGTTGCTTCTGGAGTTGTGGGATGGTTCATCACTGCATCAGGGTACAAAAAGAATTTGTAAAGATATTTTGATTAAGTGTCTGCTCTTTAAAGATGACTGAAATTAATAATTACAAGAATAAAGACTGAGAAAGTATTTCTGAGGATGGGTAGAGGGAACTAATAGGACGAGAGTATTTCTAGCACTTCAGAGAACACTAATTAGGTGTGCTACAAGCGGCCAACGAACCTCTTTGTTACCCAAAAAGTTGCCTCAATTCTAACTAAAAACTTAATTTGGAATATTTTATGTTGTCAAAATCAAAATATCTTATATAATTAAAAAACATTTCATTTACATTTTTCAACAAAATGTGACACAATCCCTCATCTACTTACGGCAGCTGGAGCTTGCTGTGCTGCAATGTCAGCCTGCTGTTTCAGGCGTGTCATCTCAGAGGAATAGGCTGCAATCTCCTTCTCCAGGCGCAAGTGACGATGCAACAGTGCTTCTGCACTAGATTCATCTTTTCCATAGTCCTTGCTGGCTAGAAGGGGCTGCCTTTCTTGCAACCATGAATTTGCTTCATCGATGTCAGCAAAGTACTAAACACAGGGAAGAAAACATTTGGATTCATCCTGAAAGTATGGTATCCAGCTACTTCTTCTTTATAAAATTATGAATAAGGAGAAATTCCATTAAGTTTGTAGCCATAAGGTTACTACCTCGTGTCACAAAAGCTATGAGTAAGGTAGCTCTAAATCCATGATGTATTTCATGCTTGTATCACAGATAATTCACAGAATCACAGTGAGTAAAGAGATTCAAAGATTGCCTATATAGCTCTTTAAAAGCTCCTAATTAGCTAAAATTTCATGGTGCATAATAGTGGCAGTAAAAGAAACCCACAATGTATGATGTTAGTAGGTACTATGTAATTCCAACAGATATTTTCTAAATGTTTAAGGAACAATGAACTTAGTCTACAACAGAAGTTTACTTCTTTTTTCCAGAATTTGCAGTCTGCCTGGCTATGGTTGTAAAAAATGAGAACAAGCTTTTGAGACATAGAATATAGGTACAACAGAAAAAAAAAAAAAAGAAAATCCATAGTAGTGAAGAACAAATAAAGAAGAACTAAAGCACCATAGTGGTGTTAAACGTACTAAACAGAAGAGAGAATTTAGACTTTCTCAAGGACAAAAATGTTCAGTTTTGTTCAAGCATTTCATGGAAACAACAGACTGAACAAAAAACTTAGGAAAGGGAGATTGGGAATAGAAAAAAGGGGACCTGAGATAATGTGATGTGATTTAAGAATGCTGCTTTTTAAGAGTTATTTATTTGCAGATATTTGAGTGCTTGCAGGAGTAAAATCATAGGTCAGAATGGCAGTGTCAAACATTTGGCAGGCTTTGTGAAGTTCATGGTCAACCTAAGTCTTACAACACGTTACTTTTGTTGTTGGTTTTTGGAGTTCTTTTTTTTATGTGAGGAAAATGTCACACAGCTACCCCAATCCCATTCTCTAAAAAGACTCTGCATCAGCACTATCATGTGAGTTATTTCCACTAGCATTTTCACCTTTAGAGCAACTCCCAGCTGGTCATATCTCCTGCCTGGCATGCTTGCAAGAGGATTGAGACTTCACTGCCACAGATCCTGTTGAAGACCAACATCTGAAGGCTTTCCTGCCATGCCCTCCATGTGGAGGCATTGGGCAGAACTGAGCCACATCCATGTCCCCCATACACACATCACAGCAGAGCCCTCTTACCTGTTTGATGAGAGCTGCCGCCTGCAGGCGGCTTTTGCGGTCAGCCACCTCATTTTGGAGCTGCTGCCACAGCTTCTGGAGGTTGTCTGTCTGCCTCAGAATGTCATCCTGGTGAGCAGGGTTCTTTTGGCTGAGCTCCCAGCCCCTCCTCATCACATTCGCACATATGGCTCTGTGGGAATTACACTCTGCTTCAAGAGCCTAGCACAAGGATGGGAAACACGTCAGCATAACTCATTCCCCACCAGTGAGAGAAAAGAAGGGGTCCTACTCTGCTACTGTAATGCATACATTTCCTATAGCCCCATGTCTTATTCATGCCTAAGATATTTCCCTTAGCTCTCTGAGATGAATGCCCCTCTGCTCCCCACACTGTTCTACTTCTAGCCTTTGATCTGAAGCTTGTTATGCAGTCTTCTCTGAATGAGATACTTGTCATCCACCAATTCAGCTGTCTCATGCTTTCCAGAAGGAACAAATACACAAACAGATGCACACAAATGTATATTAAAATAAAAGAAGAGGCTCCTGTTTCTGTTATCATATGAAAGTTCTCAAGCCCACAGGTCTCTTCACTTGTTCACAGTGATTCTTTGCCATAAGAAGGCACTAGCTCATATAGCTAAACTTTTGATATTAAGCCACAGCAAGGTCTGTGGCAACAGATTTGTAAGGTCATACAATATTATTCGTTCTGCCTACTGATATCTGTCTTCTTTTCACCATCTCTCTCTTTCCCCACATCTCTCTTGGCCAGGAAAGGAGGGTGAGAAAAACAAAAATTAGCAACCTTTTGTTTTCTGCCCATCAAAAGTTAGCTAATATGAAGCTCAGTGTCTTCACTAGAAGCCCCACTTCTAAGTCCAGTAGGAAGCATATTCTTTCTCTACCGTTTCCTTCCCCTTTTGGGGAAAAAATCCCTACACTATACATTTTTTAAAAATTCCAAACACTGGTCATGACACTTGAGATAAGGAGCAGTTTGACAGCTTTTTTTAAGTGAACTGAACTGTAACTGACTGAACTGAAAGACACTGATGTTCTAAAGTCTTGCTTTAATACAAAGACAAGGCACCACCAGCAAAGTAAGATACCTTGTTCTTCTGAATAGAGGCTGTAATCTGGCTGACATCTTTCCCTAATGTTGTAGTTCTTGCTAGCTTCCATTTCTCAGAGACCCACGATTCCTCCTCTTTGCAGTCACGGAAGAATTCAAAGAGTTTCAAAGCCTCTTCTAGCTGAGATTTTCTAAACCAAGGAAACAAACAGTGTATGTCAGTCAGAAGTAGGATTCCATGGAGACAATGGTAGTATAATCAAAGAAGAATTTAAAAATCAAAAATTTGAATGCTTTTAGTTCCTCTTTTTCATATATTAATTTACTCATGGAATAAGACAAAAGAAACAAAACTACATTTCCTTCTTTCTTTAGATGAAATAACTGCTTGCTAATCAGACTTCTCATAAAAGAAGTTTTAATAAATGCTGAGAATGAAGTTATTCTTCATCTGTGAAAGTGAGTGATCCTTTCAGTCAATTGCAATCAAGACACTCAAGTTGCTTTTGTTCCGTCTTTATAAATGGAGAAATGAAAAAAATTCAAATGCTGGGAAGCTGTGCCCTCTGATTAAAGAAGTGATTGGCCATCCTAATCAGGAAGAACAGAGATATAAGCATAGCCCTACCGTGATTTGCTCAGAGCTGTAAGGTTTTGATACAGCTGATGAAGCATCTGAACTTTTGCATAAAGCAGTTCTGGTTTAATTGTGCTGTCCTTGCTGATTTCTGTTGTCCTCTGGGTGATACGTGTCAATCTACCACCATAGGAAGAGATCTGCGAGTCAATCAAGCTGTGATTCTGTAGCAAATCTACTACTTCCAGGAGCTGCTTACCACAATCCTGGGAATTCACTAGGACCTACAAACAAAGTGAGAGAAAAAAAAAGGCATTGGTCGAGAGTGCATCCAGGGGCTTAGTACAAACAAATCAGTTGAAAGATTCGCATTGACTCTCATAGCTTCTAAGCGTCCAAGAATACCAGCTAGGTAAAGCTAAAAAGCTGCCTATTTAGAGGAATTATACTTTTCTTTCAATTTCACAAGCTAATGGCAACAATTCAGAATTTCTATCTAATGCAGTGCAAGTAATGGTCTCTTCAAATAAACATCTGTTTTAGTACCTAATTTACTACTATTGATTAAGGACTCAAGGTCTCAGAATTTGGGACTGATGAATATCCCTTTCCTATAAACCCATCTGTAGGCAGATTGATTTACAATCTGTATTTTGAGAATTTTACAATATTCCATTTTATGGTATGTTCTAACTGCTGTGTTCTTTTATTTGAGGAACCTAATTGCCTGTCTAAATAATGAAAATAAGTACTTCACGGTATTTAATTGGTGGCTGATGAAGGTACCAAGTGCTTACAAGTCAATTCTCCTTCTAACTGTATCAATAGATACAATCATCAATCCTATTGTAGGATACTATCTTTCCTTATCAATCTTCTCCCACATCCTCAGGCTATCATGGTTCCAGCAACACTATTACCATTAGGTGTTCTTTGCTTACTAACACTAGGAGAGAAAGATTTATAATTTGGAGACAGCTCTTATCTTTAATTTGAAATTCAAAACTTCATATAGCATGCTGGCTCTTTCAACTCGGGCACAAGGTAACCTGTAGTCATAAGGATTTTTCTGTCTTCGAGAACAAAGAATGGATATATACTCCCTGTCATTACAAAATCAAAATGATCCTGGTTATTATTCATGCTAAAGAGAAGACTGTGCTCTGTCACTCTTGTAACAACTGGAAATTCTTGCTAAAAGCAAACTGTGCATTTACAGTGGAACTTTTCTTTCTCACAAGCTTATAAACCTGAAAGCCTGAGCTAGTTCTCATCTGTATAAACATTGGAGGTACTTCCAGAAGCTACTTCAGAAGAATTATGTGGAATGGAAACAGAAGGCCATTTTATTCCACTTTTCCTTCTACATTTCTAAATTTAGATAAGATTATTTCCTGTCTTTATTTTACTATATAACTTGACCCTGTAGTGCACTCCCTGTAATACCATACCTGGCTTTCTGATTAGAGAGAGCCCCTATAGCAAAGCCTATTTTTTTCTCATGTAGTTGCCTGTGATGACGAACTGAAATGCACAGTTAGGCATCTAAGTAAAAATTGTGCATTTTTACATAGCTGATAGACTTATCTCCTCTTGGCACCACCCAGTCCCTGGAACAAGGCAGTTTTTCCAGGGACACTGGCAGCAGTACAAGTTGTGTGCTGGTGGAGAGGGCTCGGTACCTGCAGCTCTTTCAGCTCCTCTGTAATGGCATCAACGTCCCTTAGAAGGCCAAGAATTTCCTGCATTGTACCCAGGGATTGTTCTCGTCTCTGCAGCTGATCCAGGAGATCCTGCCATTGCTTTGAAATGGTTTTTTGCCTACAAAGGAAAAGAAAGAAATGATCGATTTGGACCAAAGGCTCTGGACAGCACTGAAGGATTCTCAGTGTTTGTAGCTTTAGAGGAGCTAAATGAACATGCACAACTCTTCACACTAGTGTAAGAGAACAGGTCATGATCAGAAAACAGGTCAAAGCATTGTTGTTACAGGTATTTTGACTAGCGCATCAATTGTGATAGACTTCTTAAAATTTAGAAGTTTTTTTTAAGGATGTTCATACCTGACATTCCCCATTGCTTTCATTTCATACAGTGGAAAGGCTTGGAAAAAAAGAAGTGGTGTTTAAATGGCTGCTTAAAGTAAAATATTAATCTAAACCATACCATGTTACAATCTGATCCCATAAAGAGTTTAAATTCCTCTTTTATAACTGTTTTTCTTAGTTTTCCCATAGGTTTCTGATTTTGTCTGAACTTAGAAAAGCATTGAAATACCACAAAATAAGTCATTTGTATGGCATTCTTAGACATTCACAATTCAGGCTATATAATAACCCAAGATAATCGGAGCTATAATGTCTCAATATTTGCTCCAAAGTGGAGTCAATCTGAGAAGACTTTGTGCCTTAATCAATTTGTATTTCCTCAAACTACAGAATGAAAAAGAAATGTGTTGATTTGGGAAAAAAAAAGTATCTAAGCGTTTTTGATGGAAGATAGAATATTTGATTGAAATTTTTAAATATATTTTCATATAAAAAAAAATCTTAAAATTATTTTTCACCCTAAATCAGTCTGAGAGTTTGATCATTCAAGGCAAAAATTAGAATTTTGAAGGAGATGAAACATTTGCCTTATCTGCTGAAACTATTCACAGATAGAAGGAATTCCTGCCAGTTCTACTCATAAGGAGCAGAGCAAAGATTTATAACTACAAATAATTTTCCTCCATGACACCACAGAATTTCAGCTAATTTTGACCTCCATCAACACACAGTCTCATGACCGTCACTCACTTCTTCAAGATTTGATCTTTGCTGTGAAAGTTCTCTTGGCTAATAACAGTTGCCATTTCATCCAAAGCTGTGAAGCGTTCCTTCCTGGGCAGTACATCTGCCACAATGGCTTCCAGCTTCTTACTGGCAGCCTCCATCCTGTCCACACTCTCTGGCCAGAAGTCCTGCTTCCCAATAACTTTCCTCATGTCTTCTAAGTAGGACTCACGCAGGGCTGCCTTCTTCAGGAACCTCTGCGCTAGCTGTTCCAGCCTTTCTAGCCTAAGCATCTCCTTTTGCAGTGCTTTTCCCCGGTTGTGCTCTGACTTTTCCAGTATGATCCAATGCTTTTCCACATCCTGCAGCATCTTCCCCTCTGGGGGCAAGTATGGCCGTTGGTTGTTGGCTCTCTGTTTGGTCCTGATGTTGAAGAGATGAGCTTCAATCATGCCCTTCTCTTGATATTTGGGGGGTTTCTCCACAGTGCGGAAGGTTTTGAAGTTGGCCATGAGCAGCCACATTTCCTGAAGAGAGTTGGGGAAATGACGGTCATCCAGTTCCATCACCTTCTGCTTAATCCATTTCAGGAGGTCAGAGACCATCTGCTCATACAGAAGCTTCAAGTCATCTATCTCCTTCAGGAAGAACACAATCTGTGATGGGAATATAAAGTTACAAGCCACATAAGAAACAGAATGAAGCAAGGTGGGTGAACAGAAAGCAGCATCTTCAGCAGTCATCACATTTTTATACAGGTTTGGTGGTAGCTGTCACATCTGAGGCCAGGTGAAATCCTAGACTAGCCTTCCATGAAATGCAGATAAATAAATATTATTTAATGTCTCATTTCAGTTTCTATCCAAGAAAACATTAGTTTTGGACTAAACAGCATGTAAGTGGAGACTGTCAGCGATTCCTATGTGGGCTGATTAGAAAGCAAGAATCCCAAACTGAGGGTTCACATTTTTTGTTTCGCAATAAAAAAACCAGATTTTTCCCCCCCAGTCTTGTTGCTAAACCTAAACCAATTCTGTCCTAATATGCAATTACACCCTCTTAGCTTCACCAGTTCAGGGTGTTAGGAAACCATCTGATAAGATCCTGGTTCTCCCACATGCACACAGTAGACTGCGGTCAAACAGCCCCTTCTCAATCTCCTCTGTTGGAGCTGTTTCTCTTTATGTAAATTATTAGAAAATGTATGGTGGCCCAACAGAGTCTGGTAAAGATGCTAATGTCTGATTCAATACTAACTTTTCAAGTCCAGGACATTTATCTGTTTCATCTGTGGCCTGATCTAACTTTATTTCAAGTTCAGGTAAATACTGGAGCAAATATCTAGAATGAAATCCATAATGAAATAAAAAGCATTAGAGTGGAATTATCCTTTCTTTCCATTATATATTTTTTCCATCTTTGTATTTTTACTTCATATTATTTTTTTTTCCTCATCCTAACTTAGTAACCCTCCTGCAGATGTCAGGTTTAATGCTGAACGATGTTGTCTGCCTCTATCATTTCGCTGAGTTTTCCTGCTCCAGCCAGGCAGATTAGTGAGGGAGATGGCACCGAGAAAAGACCCAGTCCTTCCAAGTGATAATCTGCTTTTACCTACCAGAAAGTGCACTTGGCAATGAATAAGGGTCACAGTGTAAGAGGAGTAAAATAGCACCAACCTTCAGTGCAGGAAAAGCAGCCCGTGACATCAGGGCTCCCTTCTGTATTTTCTGCCATCGTACCCAGTTCTTGCTGAAAGATCCTAGCAAATGCATGGTCACCTCACATGGGAGAGGGGAAGGAGATTTACCTCCCAGAGCTGTTTCTCTCTGCCAACCTGGTCACACACTTAGTCTGAACTCAAAGGCTTCCTTGACACATTCAGGCTTCCCTCCCAATCCTATTAGTAAATTCAGAGCTGCCTATTTGAGAGGACTAAGGACATGAAGAGATTAACATCAGTTTCCTTCTCCTTCTGAACCTTTGTGTGTATCAGAAATGCAGGAAGACAGGAATGCAATATTAGAGACAGGCTAAAAATAGGGAAGGAGGCAAAGAGAGAAAAAGAAGCAGGTTAGTGGAGAGAGAGAAAAGAAATAATAAATATAAATGGAAAAAACAGTGAAGCACAAAAAGAACTGAAAAAGGACAGAGTAAGAAAACTGTTTCTTCACATAATACAAAAGTTATGTCTTCCTTGCTCCTTATAGTTCCTCTAATACATGCTTGATGACTCAAGGACTATTTCAGGTTTATCAAAAGATAAATAGTGTCTCCTGGCCAATATCCAGTGACTCATGTAGACCAATCAGATCCTACTGCCCACTCTCCTCACTGATGTCCAAACTTTGACTGAATTCCAGGTCCTGTTCTCATCTAATGTTTCTCTTCTGAGAACATCCTGTTCTAATACAGAGAATCATAGAGTATCTCAAATTGGAAGGAAACTATAAGGACCATTGATTCCAACTCCCTGCTCCTTGCAGGACTACTTAACACCAAACCATATGACAAAGAGCATTCTTCAGACACTCCTTACACTCTAGCAAGCTTCATGCTGAGGGGAGCCATGTTACGGGATCATCTAATTCTTGCCCCAGACCACTTTTTCAGATGACTAAACACTTCTTTTCACCTTGTCACCACCAGGGAAGCCTTAGTCTGGATTAGTGTGCCTCCTATTAAGAAATATATTCCCCCTCTCAACTGCACAGGCAGATCTCAGAATCCAGATGTTCACGGAGGACCCATCCTGGATGTGTAGGTTTCCTGCAGGCTATTTCTTTGTACTTTTGACAAAACCAGAATAGATTATTCTAGAGATAGAAGAAAAATTCTCTCTCAGGAAAGTGGTCTTCAGTAGAACAACTACAAAATTCCTTCAGTTTTCTATCAATAGGATGCAAGTATTTTCAATATAGCTCAGTATTGTATGTGAGGTGAAATGTATATGGAAACAAAGAAAAAAATTAGCTTAGCAAAATTTAATAAAATTTTAATAAAAAATATTAATAAAAAATTAGCCAATTTAGCTAGCAGTCTTTCATTTTTAGTGTTTTTAGTGGTGGTGGTGTTATTGAATTGTTGTGGTTTTGTTCAGTTTGTTTGGTCTGGGGTTTGTTTGTTGTTTGGTTTTTTTCCATTCTGTACCTCGGGAGTTAGAAAGAAAGGATGAGGACTTGGAAATAAAAATCCAAAGTAGTGTCATAGAATAAGGGATCATCTTTCCTATGAAATAAGAAAATTGTTGACTAGGTCTGCTTTTGCTTAGCTGTGTAATCTTATCCCAAGATGATTGAGATCTGTATGCCTCAAACTGCCTTGAAACCATATAAGTTCTTAAGCGGAAACTGTGAGGTCAAAAAGGGATTAATTTTTGGTGAGATAATTGCAACCCCCTTAGAGATTGGAGAGTCTACAGGCACTTCTCAAGATACAATGTCTTTCAAATGTCTATGCCATTTGATTCAGTTCAAATGATCCTGAAGGTGAGCTTGCACAGAACTCCCCACATCTCCGACTTAAATTTATCTTTACATTTTTAACTTTTAACTTATGAAGACAGCAATGCACTTACTTTGGTAAGTCGCTTCTGTACTGTCTGGCCTTGTTTCAGTCTGGAGAAGTAGTGGTAATAGAGTGACACATAAGTCATGATGGATCTCTCATCTGGATAGGGCACAGCCACATCCTCAGCATCAAGCAGTTTGCTGATTCCAAACTCTTTCTCAGCAACATCAAAGGCATTGTTCAGGTTTTTAATGGGCTGGTCCTGCCTCAGTGAGCTATAGTGGATAAGATCAGGCCTGGGCAAGGAGAAGAACAGGACATGGAGGGGAAGAAAGATATATGTTTGTTATAAATTCTTTCCAATTATAAACTATAAACTATTTATTAGACTAAGGAATGTGAGATTAACACTGAAATTATTTTGACCCTGAACTTCATTCAAGAGCATTGCCCCTTTCCTACATAAGGAAAGAAAATTGCCCTTTATGAAATTGAAGTACCACTCCCAGCAAATCTCTGCCCTTCACTTATTTATCCTCTTCAGTGATGCGTGAAAACCAAAGCCCACTGGAGAGGCAGTTCTGAAAAGGGAGGTGACTGCCAGCTTGGGAAGTTAAAGAATCCCACTGTGGCATCCTGTATAAAAAGTAGCAGAACAGTTAATGGACAAAGAAATGTTCAAGGTTCTCTCATAGGTAGTTTCTCTCTCCTGCTTTGGGGTATTTTCTTCACACTTCTTCAAAGGGACAGAGAAGGGAGAAAGAACGAGACTGAGAAGTTGCTTGCTCTGTTACAATTGAACCAGAAGGGATACATGCTCACAAAGTTCATACGACAAAACCAGTCCCTAAAAGAGTAACTTTAGAAAAAGAGCATTGTTCAGACACGTGATATTCCCTTGGAAATTCACTGTTATGCCCAACTAAAGGAACAACGAAGCAGGAACTTTTTGTCCTCCCTTTCTTAGAGAGAGAATACCCATCTAAGAAAGAGTCTTTAGTGAGAAAGGGCAGAGAGAATTTGACAGTTTCTTGACAAAAACTTGTAATTCATACCCTAGAACAACTTGTGCCAGAGCAATGAGCAATTCTGTCTGAACTGATCCATCAGATCTTACCTGTGAGCATGTATGAGTGCATTGAAAGCCAGCCCATCACTCCAACTTCTGGAGAAGTCCTTCACATTTACATTGGAATAGCTGGCAGTTTTATGCTGACACCAGAGTAGTAAGGCTTCATTCGCAAACAGAACATCAGCTCTGCCTCCAAATTCTTCCTGTTAAGAGAAATCAGCTTGAAAGATACATGGAAGTAGCATCAGTGAGTTTACACTTAGGTTTGTGAAGATCGCTTTGTGTTACTTTTGTCCTATTTACAAATCTGCTCAAAGTCATAACTTGCAGACTGTATCTGACATAAACGTAGAAAGATTTAAGATGAAAGTAGAAGTTTTATACTAAAATAAAAACAAATTGAATGAACTCAGAGATTATAAAGTGAAATGCAGTTGTCAAAAAGCTTTTAAAATTTTCTCTTCTCTAAGGTTTGCAGAAATCAGGTGGAAAACAAAGCTCAGTTTGTGAAGTAGGACTCAAAACCAAAATATGATGTATTCAGGTCTAATGTGAGAAACTGTTAACTTTGATTTCATGATACCTTCATAGATTCTTATTTTTCAGGTACTTAGAGTACATGTTAAATAATTTTAAAAAGCATATATTTCTTCAGAGAAGAAAAGGATGCAGCATGCAACTAAAATCTAGAGAGAACTGTTGACAGAGAAACACTTTCTGAAGTCAAAAGTCAATAAAAAAAATCAGTAGAAGAACATGAATATCCTATCTATCTCCACATTATTGTGTTCAATCTCTTTGCAAAACTATGAAGTGAAGTGGATTCAATTGCTATTAGAAATTGCTGGATGAGTAACTGGATAATATTATAAGACCTGCATGATCAAAGCAATCAGAAAACATTACAAAAGTGGTCCTTGCTGGCCCAAAACTCTACAAAGTCTCTGAAATGCTCCGATCAGACAAAAAGACAAAGATACAGTTTTACCTTATCAAGTTTGATAGATGAAATCTGAAATCTAAGTATGATGATCCAGATAAGTCCTAGGATTAAGGTTCTGTCACCATCTACGATATTCTCAGGACCAATCACTTTTACTTGTACCTGCTAATAAACCAATATCTGTTTAGCATAATAACACTCATGTCCAGTGCTCAGAGTAACAAACTGTTACTGAAAAGGGTGTTCAGGTGTTTTCTTAAGGAAACAGGTTTTATGTTTATGTCTCTTCATTGGTCCACAGACCTGCAAGCTCCCATGTTCACACCCTAGCCATCATGTGCACCAAGGATGAGTTTCAGCAAAAGCCTGGCAAAAGGATGGTGGTCTCAAAGATTTAAAGTTCCTATATGTGTTTTGAAAACTGGTGGTTAAGGAGAGGAAAGAAACAGAATTCAATGCTCCTTTCTTCCAGAGAAGAGGGACATTAGCTGATTATAAATGATGTTACTCAAATAATAAAGAAATTCAAATCTGATGAGGTTTTTTTTTTCCTTTTAATAAGACCCCTATCTTCAAAGAATATCTTATTGTTTATTAGAGGGGGAAACTATAATGAACATAATATTACTTAGTAACATCCATAAACTGTTGTGATCTCTAATATCAATATTAACTTACCTTGGATTTCAGAAATGAGATGGCTTTGCTGTTGTTCTCTAAAAAATGCACTCTCATAGTTCCCCGGCTTGGTTTGGGCAAAACTTCTCCCGAGAGCAGCTCCAGGAGTTTCATGAGAGAGATGCCATCTTTCAAGTCTGTGTAAATATCTTCTAACTCAACCTTCACCTGTGAAGAGCAGTCAGACAATACAGACTCTGGCTTAATGATTGGCACACAGAACCCTCTATTTCTAAAAATAAACAAATAACACTTTCTTGCTGTTTCACTGAGTCTTCTGTATGATAGTGCATATATGCAAGGAGTGGTGAATCTTAATTCAGAAAAGAAATGAACTTATGAAAGTAGGCTGAAGTAAAAAAAGCAGCAACAACCCAACAAAAACACAAACCCACAACTGAGCAAATAAAGAAAAAAAGCATGAGATTTTGAAAAATAAAAACATCCGAACATTTGCAAAATCTAACATTTTGGAAGTGCTGACATTTTTTTATTTCAGTTCAAATTAATATTTTCATTTTTTTTACTCTGGGCAATGCATTTCATTTAAAAATTGAGCTGATGATCCCATTCAATGACTTGATTTTTACTCCATAGTTTCAACAGTTTGTCACATCCTGCTTAGACCTGTGCTACCACCTGATATCTCCATACTTTTTGCCAGAGTCTAACACTAAGTGAAAGATTAAGATCTTCTACAAAAATGTGTTTCATTGCTGCCAGTAGTGAGGTCACCCAGTGCTTAGGTGATACAACATGACATAGTGTGTACTCTGACCGAACAAGAACTTGCCTTGGGTGTTTCCTTTTGGCCTTATGCCATTTGCCATCTAGAAGTGACATTAAAATCATACCACACACCTAACAATAATTTACTGTGATTCTGGACTTTTGGTAAATAATCATTTTGCCTTCAGGGAAAAAAAAACTAAAGTAATATATTTTTTAATTCAGAGAATAGTTACATGTTAGGGGGAAAACAGGACAGATAACAGACATGTGCTTTTTAATTCCTGACCAAACATTAATCAGTTTAGGAGATCTTTTCTCCAGGGAAAGAGGAAAACACTGAAAGTGTAAAGTAAAAGAAACTCAGAGGGTCTTGAAGTCTGTACTGTGTGTGGAACAAGAATTTACAACTTTATCTGACTGATTATCTCCACAAACCCCCTCCCTGCTTAGTTGCCAACTTTGGGTTTTTTTCATATTAAACAAACTTAAAATTCTGCCTATGGTATATTACAATAAAGAAAGTTAAAGCTTTTATATTCTGTGACACTTCTATAAATGAATAACAATTCTATTTAAACTTGTAAAGAGACAGACTTCATATATCTGCTTTATGCGTCACTCAGCAGTAGTTTTAATAGCTCTGTTGCATCATCCTTCTCATAAAGATACGAGTCACACATTGCTTAACAAATTCAATCTAATAGCATTCTTAGTGCTAAAGTAGTCAACAATATAACTTGGAACACTGCAGTGTCCTGTAGTATGATCCAATCACGTTACAGTGTGTATTGGAAAGCTGAGACTACATTGCCAGGAAGACCTAGATAAGCTCTCAGTGTCTGCACGTCTCTTACCATATATGGTTTGGAAAGCTCTCTCAGGTTTTTCCCCCCATGCTTTTATGATACATGAACAAGTACATTGCAGGAAGTTAAGACTGATATTTTAATCTTTGAACTTGAAGGCATTTTTAAAATGAGAAATTATTTATCTATGGATAAACAGAAGTAATTTCCGACACCATAGAAACCTAACTTTCTGCAGGTGACAAAATCAAAATGTGTTTTGCATTTGTTTTCTCCAGTTAAGAAAAATAAGTTTGAGTTTATTTTGTTCTGCCATTGTACCAATGGCATTGGTACCAATTGTACCAATCACAATTTTAAAACATTACACTGAAAAACTCTATCTAGTACTGAAACACTACATAATAGTGATGACCTAGAATAGATCCAAGAGGCCTGGTCCCACCTGGTGTCCTCAAGGTCCATTTTCATGACTATCATCTACAGTCTGTAGGAAAGAAAATTTGGTTTGGATGATGTCATTCCCTACTGTGCCACAGCTACATCATTTGTGCTTTGAAATGAGCTTATCTGCAGTGAGTCTGGAGACTTGGAATATGTTGGAGTTACCTTGCACACCCAAATAGCCTGCACACTAATTCTGAAGATTTTTGGAAGTCTGAGAGTTACTGAAAACAAACTGGTCTGTACTTGCATGGTAGTATATCTGAAATTGCCAGAATTAAAGCTACTCTTTCAGAGCTATTGAGCAGCAGCTCAAGTTGAACTGATCAGGAAAAGCAGAAATTTTATTTTTTTGGCCAGGAAATTAAGAATTGAGCATTGTTTGGGGAAACGCAAACATTTGCAGATACTTAACAGGAGCTTCCTCTGAGAGGATCATCAATATACAATGGACATCACATTATGATAGGCTTATACATTCTACAAAAATGAATCTTGATTTTAGAGAAGACTGCTAACATGAACAATGGAGACAGATGTGAGGTAAAAGATACAGGCTGTAGGACTCCAGTTAGTCAAAGCTTTCCTTGCTTGCCTGTATGTATAGTGCCAACATTCAAGAAAAAACAAATGTTAAAAATAATACAAAAAAGAATACAGTGGGTGAAATAAAATAAAAACAAACCAAAAGAATCCCCAGATTGAAGGAGCTACCTACATTATTCCTGGAGAAGACATTGTTCATCCAGTTGGTAAAGGTTTTCTTTTGCATGGACATACGCTGCTCCTGCAGCTTTTTGATATGATCTTTTTCATATTCGGTATCCATGGTCATCTAGGAAGTCAGAAACCTCAGTGGCGTGCTGAGTGATGAAGAGATCTGCCAGGCCACCTACAAAAAACAGTCACACACCCAGTGTATATAGGAAATCCAGCACCAACAGGCACAGGATTCAACACCACACCCAGCAGAATACTTTACTTTCCTTTTGCTTGTACTTTGCACTTTAATGTCACTACCTTTATTCTTAACTTACTTGCATTCACACTTTTAAAATACATCTCTTGTTCAGGATGAAAATGTGACATGTATCGCTGTAGGTTTACTTTCTTGCTCTCAATCTCCACTCATGAGGGCAGAGTTCCCATGAGGACCACCACAATATGCAAGCCATCAATAACTTTCTTGGGTGTGCTTGAAGCACATGACAGAGAACTGACCTTAGACCCCACTAGAAAGAGAAATCTGCAAATCACTTCCAATCCAGTACTTGAAAGTGTGTTATGTTCTCTGAGGACTGGTTGAGATTCTGCTATTGGCTTTCAGATTACAGTACTTCCAACAGAAATCAAAGAGCTTCTTAGAAAGGAAATGGAACTAACTTGTTTCTTTCCTCTTGTGAGTTCAGTTTTTGCATATGTATCACTGTAATGATGGAGACACATAATCATATCATACATAATCACATTAACAAGGTCCGAGGCTGGATGTCAGGAAGTAGTATTCCTCTTCCCTAGGCTGTCACAGACTTGTCTGCCTCATCCATGCTGAATATTTAGAGAGATATGAAACAAGGAGTCTTCCCTTTAGAGTCTGTGATACAATAAACTGGATTTCAGCTCATGTGAGCAACTCTTCTGAAGTCACTTGGCTTATGTAGTAAATCTGCAACAGCAGTGACCTTGCTGTTATGAATGCAAGATAATAACTTTAAAAAAAATAGTCAGTTTAAGATCCACAGCTACAGACACCTTTAGTGACCAAACATCATCTGCTTGAACTACTGCCACAATTATAAGTTTTGTCTGGATAACAGCCTGGCTCCAAAACCAAGAAACCTGTTGCAGTGGTGGGAGAGTGGTTCATTAAATTAAATCAGAAATGTTCCCTGTATTGGTAAATGATTATCATAAGACAGATTTGTAATAGATTATCGGCATTGTCAGGATGTAAAAGCAGTGCTTATAGCCAAAACTGGTTATAATGGTACATTACAGAAAAAAAATACTGCTGTCAACCCACTGCAAAGAGATAAGGGAATGAAAAATTAAAACCTCTGACAAACTGTGGCAGTGTGGAGCAGGGTGACCTGCTTCCCAAAATTCCAAGTCTGTTTTGCAAAGGTCAAGTTCTGAGCTATTCTGGGCTTTCTACCCTTTAAATCCATAAAGCATAAAATACTGGAAAAAAGACATTGTGTGTCCTAGCATGAGAAGACTGCAATAGGGAACTAGCAACAGCAGCCACTGCAAATGGGAAATTGCTTGCCTGATAGTTTTCTGTGCTCTGATAAGTATAAAGAATTTTGCCATTTTACAATATGGAAAGGTATGGAAAATGCAAAAGCAATCATTTGTTACTGTGTTTTTTATTACTGTTTTTCGGGGCAGATGTTTCTTAACCCCCAGTGCTTGACTTCTGCAAAACAGCGATAGCATTGAAGCCTGATAGTTCAGCAATAACATGGGGAAGGACCATAACTATAAATAAAAACCTAATGAAAGGAATAATTTAGCAAAGTTTGAAATAGAATTATAGAGAGATCATCACAACACTTTCTTATCTGGTGGGCTGGTTCAGCTCTGCCTGCTTTCTCCATTTGTAATAACCCCTATAGTTAACCCACATCATTTGTGAATTTGCCAAATGGTTCTCAGAATATCTGCAGGCTTCTTTTCTTCATTTTTTTAAAGTGTTTTTATCCAAGCAACACAGTCAAGCTGAATAATAACAGTAATGGTTCCATTTAGGTGCAAAGGAAGCTTATTTGTTGAGCTACCATCTCACTTAACAGCTCACCTGTTTCATTAAATTAAATCAGAAATGTTCCCTGTATTGGTAAATGATTATCATAAAACAGATTTGTAACAGATTATCTGCATTGTCAGGATGTAAAAGCAGTGCTTATAGACAAAACTGGTTATAATGGTACATTACAGAAAAAAAAATAAATCAAAGAATGTGAAAGAAATTGCACTTACTCAGGTTTGGAAAAAGTCCTTCCTGACATTCAGCAGCTGGTCTTTCTAAAGAATGACTTCTACTACATCCACTCCTACATTCACCTCACTGTTTTCATGAAAAGCAACCTTTGATTTCAGGAACAGAGACCAAATATTTATGATCTACCTATGAACCTTTCATCTGATCTGAAGGAAATAATCCATCAGAACACAATGAATAAAGGTTGTCACAGGCGTTGTTCAATTCTTATGCTCAAAAATAATATATAAACTGCACCAAAATTGCTATAAACCAGTGAAAAATCATCCAGGTTCTGATGTTTTGGTAAAGAGCATCTTTCACAATTGCATTAAAGGCTCTGCCTGATCCCAGGTTGCTTTTCTAAAGGAATTCTTACCTGGAAAAGTGAACCTGACAATGGAGTCTGAAAATCAAAGTACAGCAGAGAGTACAAAGATCAGAGTAATATCCAAGTGGTTAAATTTGGATACAGAAAACGAAAAGGTCGAACATCAGGAATTTGCTCAGCACTCAGAACAGGTTTGAGGAAGCTTTTGTTCACAGATATCTGCTGCTGGCAGGGTAAACTGGAGTCAAGCTGGAAACACCAGCTGATTCCAAAGTTTATTATTGATGGACTTTCATTAATAACAAAAGGGAATATAATTCCGGTGACTTATATAGATAGCAGTGAGTTCTTTCTGTCACTTACAAGGTCGCACAAGCACGGAACACAGTTACCTGGCATCATTGCCAGAAACCACAGAGCTGCTGCTGGGAACCACTGCTAGAAAATAGGCAGACATCTGAAATCAGAAGCTGTAAGTAAAGATGTCCAGCTCAGAGATGACGTAAGGGAATAGCAGTTTTTTCCCTTCTGGTGAGTGTAGTTTAGTTAGCATCCAAAAGGGACAGGAGGAAACACATAAGAAGAAATGAACAACCCCCCAAAACTCAATACAGATAAAATTTGAGATCAGCAGAATCTGTGTCTTCATATGCACCCTAGAGAAATGTCATACATAGCGTCACATAAAACAGTTAGAAATAAAAAAATCGAATATTATGTTACAGCTATTTCTCAAAATATTCCCTTCAAATTATTGGACTCATATCCTGGACTAGCCAATTAATATAACGTAATACAATAGAGTGTATTGTATGACAATGTATGGAATGCATTGTAATACAATGTAACTAATACAATGTAATTCTTAACTATCATTAATTGCGGATAGGAGGACAGGAGAAAAGAGATACAAATTCAGCAACTGTTTACATCTCTTCCGCAAGTTTATTCCCTGTTTGTAATGCCAATCTTTTCTGTCTTGCTTTTTGCAGAGCCACAGAATTGGCCAGGTAGGAAGGGACCACAGTGGGTCATCTGGTCAAACCTCCCTGCCTAAGCATGGTCATCCCAGAGCACATGGCACAGGATTGCATCCAGATGGTTCTGAATATCTCCAGTGAGGGAGATTCCACAACCTCTTTGGGCAACCTGTTCCAGTGCTCGCTCACCTGCACAGTAAAGAAGTTCTTTTCATGTTTAGGTGGAACTTCCTGTGCACCAGTTTCTGCCTGTTGCTTCTTGTTCTGTTGCCTGGTACAACCGAGAAGAGCATGGCTCCATCCTCTTGCCACCCACCCTACAGATATTTATACATATTAATGAGGTCCCCTCTCAGTTGCTTCTTCTCAAGGTTGAACAGGCCCAGGTCCCTCAGCCTTTTGTTGTAAGAGACATGCTCCAGACCCTTGACCAACTTAGTTACTCTCCACTGGACCTGCTCCAGGAGCTCCATGTCTCTCTTGTTCTGAGGAGCCCAGATCTGGACACAATACTCCAAATGTGGCCTCATCAGGGTTGAGTAGAGAGGCAGGACCACCTCCCTCAGGCTGCTGGCAATGCTCTTTCTAATGCATCTCAGAATTCCATTGGCCTTTTTGGCCACAAGAGCACTGCTGGCTCAAGGCCATTTTTTTTTGTCCATCAGGACCTCCAGGTCCTTCTCTACACAGAACTGCTTACTGCTTACAATCAGACCCCAGCCTGTACTGGTGCAGGGGGTTATTCTTCCCCAGGTGCAGGACTCTGCATTTGCCCTTGTCGAATTTCAGATGGTTCTTTTCTGCCCATCTCTCCAACCTGTTGAGGTGCCTCTGAAGGGCTGCACAGTCCTCTGGGGTATCGGCCACTCCTTCCAGTTTTGTACCATCAGTGAACTTCCTGAGGAGGCATTTGCCCCTTCATCAAAGCCACTGATGAACAAGTTAAACAACACTGGGCCCAGTATAGAACCTTGAGGGACACCACTAGTGACAGGTCTCCAACTAGACCCTGTACCACTAATCACAACCATCTGGAATCTACCACTCTGCCAGTTTTCAATGCATCCCACTATCCAGTCATCCAACCCACACTTCTTGAGGCTGCCTACAAGGATTTCATGAGTGACAATGCAGAAAGCCTTGCTGATGTCCAGGTAGACAGAATCCACTATTAACTTTTAGTTACTTACATTCTTATAAAGGTAGGATTGTAGGCTGTCAGTTTAAATCCGGCACAGGTTGGATAGGTTGCGTGTGTTGGGAAAATGTCCTCGCTCCTTTCATATAGAAGGCAGAGGACCAGTAGGTGAATTGCCCTGGATGCAGGCATTTCTCCCTATTGCAAGTTAATTATTACCTATATGATTAAATGTGCAAATCACTGTATGCTTTTTATGACAAAAGACAATCAGAGATATGGTATAAAATTTCACTACCTTCTGAATATCCATCTAAAGTTCAAAGTTAAATGGTGGACACTTATGTGACAGTGATAAATAAAACCATTTCATCAGTTATTTATATCCTAACAAAGTAAGAGG